ATCGGGTCAGAGGACTCTGCAGCGAGGGGCGTTAGCTATGGCGCGCCGGGACTAGGGAGGTTGATAAGGGAGGCATTGACGCACGGGTGTTGGCAGAAGTTGAAGAGAAGGGTCGTGCAATCCGGGACATGAAGGCACCCGGGGCCTTGACGGCCGAAAGAAACGGCAATCTGGGAGGCATAGCCGGTTTTGTGAGGTTCTTGGTCGAGGCGTGGTCTGTTGCTAAGGTTGAAGCTGTCACGGAAATTCTTTGGTACACCGACGGAACCTTCCGCTCCACTTTTTTGCGATAAGACCGATAAGGATTTTGTCCCGCCTCGGCCCCAGAACTTTTTCTTCTCCAGACGACCGGTCACCGTCGACATCCGCCATACCAAGCTGGAAACTCGAGACACCGAAAGCCCAACATGGTCCGCAAACTCAAGTATCACGAGCAGAAGCTTCTTCGGAAGCATGACTTCATCACGTACAAGCAGGTACGGAGATCACCGCCGCTTGCGCATTTCACCAAGATGAGGCGCATGTGCTAACAACGATTGTGATAGGATGGCGATCACCGCGATGCCTCAGTGGTACGACAAATTCCAGAAGTGACTGTTGTCTGCCATGAGTTCTGACATGCAAACAGGTGCGCAGATATATGATCCAGAAGCCTGAAGATTATGTGAGTACTGTTCCGGACCCTCTGCATCGCCAAGAGGTACTGACAAACGTGGACAGCATAAATACAACAGACTATGCGGCGTAAGTTGGACAGCTACTGATCCGCCTTGAGCATACGCCACGGTCGAACATACACTCCTGCAGTAACTGACACTGGCTTCCAGTCCATCCGTCAGCTCGCACACAGAATTAGTCTCATGCCCCCGGAAAATGCGGCCCGCCGAAAGCACGAGAAGCTTCTCCTCGACAAGCTGTACGACATGGGCATTCTGTCCACGGCCTCGAAGCTGTCAGCTGTCGAGCACAATGTCACGGTCAGCGCGTTCGCAAGACGGCGTCTCCCCGTCGTCATGACTCGCCTCCGGTATGGATTTACAATACGCTTCTCAAGGCGAGCGTGATGCTGACTGGGATCACAGTATGGCCGAGACCGTACAGGCAGCGACGAAACTCATCGAACAAGGACACGTCCGTGTCGGTACAGAAACCTGCGTCGATCCAGCCTTCTTGGTAACCCGCAGCATGGAAGACTTTGTCACATGGACCGTGGGTAGCAAGGTGAAGCGGAACATCATGAAGTACCGCGACAAGCTGGACGATTTTGAGTTGTTGTAACGTGACGAATTTACTTTCGGGTGGTCGGCTTTCCGCCATGGCCTAGAACTTGGTTTTCGCCATTTTTTTTTCTTCTTTGGCGGCGTTACGGAGTTATGAGGATGGGCCATCGAAATGCATTCGTCTGCTGCCAAGTTCTATATATCGGCCCCTGAGTCAGCGCCAAGGGAATAGTATAATCAGCGAGCATTTGGCAAAGTCTAGAGGTGGACACAGCTTTCGGATGTGAGAACGACAGAACACCATATCGAACCGCACTCGGCGGTGCACGTCATCGAAGCAGTTCTCCTGACGCACATGTACGGATGGGGGGGGTAGCAGGCTTGGCTCCTGTAGGAGTCATCTTGGCGATTACAACTCTCAAGCGACGCAATCGGTACCTACTTTCACCTGTCAACTCATCACACGCGAAGTATACTGAGCGTTGACATCGAATCACCGAGAGACGGAAGGCAAACCAAAGTTTCGTTGCAGACGCTTCATGCTGGCTGATGCAGCGCTCGGTGAGGAGATGAACACCCCTTGGAGAGATGAAACGGTCATAAAGTTTTGCCATATATCAAACAGATGAGCGAATACAATATTGCCGCACGGAAATTATTGCAGAGGGCCTCGATGCGGGAGGCGAGGCCACTGCCGGATCAGGAAGTAGTTGAGAAGAAGTCAGTGATAGTGAGGAGTCGACTCACAAATGTGGAGATATCCGATCTGGCCAGGATAGGCATGCCGTCCGGGGTCGGAACAAAGTTTTGCAATCTACAACAAGAAGAACGTAAGAAGTCGTCGGAAGATAACTCTATGAGGTTGAGAAGGGTGCTAGCACGGACACCCTGCGAGAAACAACCCCGACTTGGACAATCGTTTACTCCAGTCTTGAAACAGAGTACATGACCAAGTGATGCCCAAGGGCCAGCATTCTCGATGGCGCAGATGTGGTTCTTGCCAATCATACTTCTCGAGATCCCGGCCAAGCATTTGAGGTTATCGTTCCCTCCGTGTCTGATGTTTTACACCTGCGATCTATGTGTGGTCCGAAACATCAGCGCAGGGGGGTTGGCGCGATGGCTTTGTTTGGATGGCCGAAGCATGTCTGGGGAACTTTACAGCCGCGACTCCTCCAGCTGGCGGCCTGGCATGTTTTATAATACATGGTCGTCCTAGGGACTTCTTCTTATATCGGCGCCTCGTTCCGAAAGCATATTCCTTCGTATTCCTATAGCGCGCTGGCCAACTCTTACGCTCCTTTGTGGCTCATAAAGGCTCGAGGCTCACTTCGAAAACATATATAACAGCCGGCAACTCTACAATATCAGCTCATCTTTTTTCATCTTTTCTTTTTCAAAATTGCACAAGCCGCCACTTGGCCATAGTGCTCATTGACGCCGTCGTCACGTAGTCCATATGAAGGTTCTCACAATGTCTGCTTTGAAGTATGCCCTGTTAGTCTCGGCTATGCTTCACGCCGCCAATGCCCACGGCACGGTAACAGGAGTCATGGCAGACGGAGTCTTGTAAGCCTGGAACCAGTGTCTCACTCACTCTGACAATTCGTGTTCACTAACCCAATCACTCTCCAGCTATGAGGGCTACAATCCCTCGATGCAGTTCCAGAACCCCCCGCCAAAGGTTGTGGGCTGGTCCATTCCCCAGGACCTGTCCAACGGCTTCGTCTCCGCCGACAAGTACTCAGACCCGGACATCATCTGCCACGTCGGCGCGAAGCCGGCGCCCATCGCCGCCAAGGTGACGGCAGGCTCGAACGTGACCGTCTTCTGGACCCCGTGGCCCGTCTCGCACCGCGGGCCCGTGATGGACTACCTCGCCCCTTGCAACGGCGACTGCGCCAACGTCGACAAGGCGAACCTGCAGTTCTTCAAGGTCGACGCCGTCGGGCTCGTGGACGGCTCCACGGCGCCGGGCAAGTGGGCCTCGGACGTGATGATCGCCAAGAACAACTCCTGGACTCTGACGATCCCGTCCGAGATCGCCGAGGGCCAGTACGTCCTCCGCCACGAGACCATCGCGCTCCACGACGCGGGCCGCGAGGGCGGCGCGCAGAACTACCCGCAGTGCATCAACATCGACGTCCAGGGCGGCGGGTCCGAGAAGCCCTCCGGCGTCAAGGGCACGCAGCTGTACAAGGCCAGCGACGCGGGCATCAAGATCAACATCTACCAGGACAACATCAAGTACTCCATTCCTGGGCCACCGGTAATTGGCAAGCAGCAGAAGCGGACTCCTGGGCGTCGGCTGAAGAGGGCGAATGCCATTTACTGAGCGGAGGCTTCATGCCCTATGTACAAAACACTTCATTTATTATGTATTTCTACCGATGCTTACATATCATAACGCATAATGGTTATGTGGTCTACGCGACGTTGCTATTTTGGACATGCAAGACGTGCTATCGAAGTGTAACCGATAGTTTTAGAGAGCGGTCGTGTAAGATATACAACTCCTACAGTGTGTTACTACTCACAAATATGACACCATCGTAAAGAACATGATACATGGTGGTTTCCGGTTTGAATCAAAACCACGGAAGTACGTTTTCTTACATGAGTTTCCTTGGCCATCCCTCACTGACGACAAACAGCGCAAGTATCGCCTCCTGCACCCCTTCCCCCTCCCTCTAAAGAAACGGGAAACCAGTCTCCTGCTTGGCTTGATGGCACAACGACATATATCCTGGTTTGCTCATGGTGTCGGTTTCACCATCGCATCTCGGGTCTCCCTCTCGGGATTGCGAATAACCGAATTTCGCTATGAATCTTGGTCCCCTCTTGGGCCGACGCTCCTGGACGGATCTTGGTCGACACGGAGCACATGGGCGTCCGAGTGCCCCGGGCGCCGCAAATCCTTGGAGAAACACCCGAAGTCTGAAGCATCATGTTTCCCTCAGCGATCTGCAACGTTATTATCCCATACCCTGTTGACTCGGCCCGGACGCCGCAAAGTCCTGTCTATAACACCTTCTTCGGTATGTTTTGTTTCGACGAGACACCAATACAGATCTGGCCCTTGGTTGGATGGTGTTATTGCATGATCTGCTGGAGTATCAGAATACGGCCCTTGAGAGTCGAATTGCGTAATGCCGAGGGATATGTCGCATGCTTCCGTACCATGGTTCACGGGCAAGATGTACTACCAGAGTGTAACGGATATAACATACTAACCGACGTACATTTATCAAAATGTAAGTTCTACAGAGAGAAGCACAGCACGGCTATCCAGCGGGGGTAGGGCAGCCTATTGTTTTTCCAGGCGCGGCGGTGCATGGCTAAAGGGTTGAACGCGAGTCTCAAGTGAGGCTTTGGCTGTGCTAGGAGAACCCCTCGCGTTTGACACTCATTCTCCGCAGTATTGTTCCTCATCTTGCAGCCGTCTTGGAGTGAGCGTGCTCGGGTCGGTGCCTGTCGCATGGTGTTTGATCCAGCAGAACGAAGCCATTCCTTCCTAATCATTTGTACGTCTGAATCCTGGAGCATCGATGTGCTTGTGTTGCTCCGAGAAGGTCAACGTGTTCCGGCTCTGCCACTCCTCTACTGCCTCTTGATCCCCCTTGTCGAAAGATGCAAAGCCGCCTTGGGATATACATTTTCCGGTTTTCGGACTCACAGCGTTGCAAATGCAGCACGGCATATGTGTGTTTTGGCACCTTTTGAATGGCATGATAAATCTCTGCACTCAGTTGTGAGACTCTCCATCTTTCTCTGCCGAGTTTCGCATTTCCCACTTGGGTAACATTCATCGGGGAGAGTTGATTGCGGGTGGTCTTTGTACATAATCAACATCCAGGCATAGAAGCCACGCCGTATGGCCCAGTGTTGACTTGACCTAGCCACTCCGACCCCTATGCTTGATCCTCCACACCATCACGGGCATGTCTTTGAACAGAAATCATCAGGCTTTTGCATTATTTGGGGGTATCTAGTCGTCAAACACCCTCGATCCTCGCAATCCCATGTAAGCTAGCGGAGTTTCATGGCGCTGCCTCGGCTACGAGGCGCTTCGTCGCACTCCCGGATGTGCGTCCTGTAGTTTCCAACCCCATCCACCCCGGTCGGGGGCTCGGGCAGCATAGAGATAACTCCCGGAAGCACCGCCCTTTGCCGAGTCGTGCCCAGTGGCCCTCTTTGCTACATCAAGCGCAGCATTCTTTCAAGCCGTGCCCATGCAGATCGTAACATGCTCCCATCGAAAAGGCCGAGCAAGCCTTAGCCGTACTTGCGGCTGCCACCCTTGTGCGTCTTCTCGTCTTTGGCACCCTTGGCCTTTTTGCCCTTGCCGATGAGCTCGAGATGGCCGGCGCGCTCGCCGAGAAGCTTCTCCGTCCGGCTGACGAGGCCGGCGGCGAGCTTCTTCTGCAACTTGTCCGCGGAGCCGTGGGCCTTGGCCTTTTGCGGCTTCGCCACGCGCGAGGCGTTCTTGGTCGACTTCTGCTTGGGCTTGCCCGTCGGCGCAGGACGCGACGAGGATTTGACGCCGCCTTGAGCCATTGTTTGGGGCTGGGATGTGTATGTCCGGATTCGGCGCGTACGTCTCCCCTGGGGACGTGGTTTGGTCGAGTGCGTAACTCGTAGGCGGTCGACGCCTCGTGAGAACGGAGAGATCCGCGCCGGAGGGCTGAGTGGATGCTGCTTTAGAGGAATTTGAAAAAACGGTTATCTGCGTCCAGGTTTCTGTCCGCAGTCGCTGGGGAGGTTGTGTGGTGTGTGTTGGCCTCGAAGCAAGATGATCCGGGCGACGTCGAGAGAGTGAAGAGGCAAAGTTTAGGCGCTCCGGGGGCGGCAGAGTAGGTCCTAGGCCAGAGAAAATTTTAGTGGACCCCGAGCTTATCGCTCACCGACACACCGACCCCACCCCCACCCCCACCAAGGGACGGACCCCTAAACTGACTGTAAAGTAAGTCCGCGACTCACGGCGGCGTTCCCACGCTTCCGAGGACGTACTACGTCGGAAGTATCGCCTTGGACCGGTTTGCCTGTTTGAATTGACGGGCCTGAGACCGGGCAGGTGGGATGCTCCATTCGGAGGAAACGCTGCCACTGCGCCGACACCCATTTGTATGTCTGCAGAAGGGCCAGCTGGAGATTGACGAGGTTGCGCCGTCTAGTTCGAAGGTAGACGTGCGTTGTAGACGCTCACTGTAAAGATCAATATCTGCTTTGCCATGCAAACTGTCAATCTATATACATATCGGAGGTCCTGTCGTCATGCATATTGGACGGATTGCTGATACGCTCAGTACACTTTCTAGTGATAGCAATAGATCGCTGACGGTATATCCAGGTATTCATTGCCCATAGGAGGCGGTTAGTAGCTAGTTCTGGTTCTTGAGACAGCTTCCCAGTATCCCAGGGCACTTTCAAGCATGCATAAAGAGTAAATAAAAGGGTTGAGTATATATTATATCTGTAAAGACTGGCTCGGAGCGTGCTTATAAAAGGCCCAATGCAGACGAGATAGAGAAGCTTACCTATGGCATATATAAGGAACCTATCTACTTAAAACTAGTAGTCTATAACCTTTAAGCTTGTATAGAGTCGTGAAGTGGCAGCAAGTACTCAGAGGTACGTATAAATACCCTGCTGTAAGGAGGCTCCCTTCCAGTGTTCCACACTTATAACCCTGGCGCCTTTTACTACATGTCCACTTGTTATGTAGATTGATACAAGCAACCGACATAAAGACGTTTCTATATCATCAAGCTAACTTTATACCCTTTCTTACCTATCCGTCCTCCAAATCAGGCTGTTAATACTATTTTGGGATGCCCGCTGTAAGAGGCCCAGGCAGGCTCAGAGACAAATGAATAGCCCCAGGACGTATTTTCTATCCTTATTCTTCGTCTTATACAGGTCTTGAGCTGGTGGTTAAACTTATATCAACTGATTCATGGCAGAATCTATCCCTTAGAGCGCTGCGTGCGCGCTGAATTAGATCAGGAGAGTGGGGTTAGCTTGGTTGTCCTCCAACTCCTGGGTTATAAGGAATTGGAGTAGGCGTAACGTTATATGATCAAGAGCGACAGTCAGATTGTCGCCTGGCTGTACCGGCTGCGTGTCATTTGCCGCGTGGCGACTCCCAAATCTTAACCCTGGAATTCTACCTAAGCCCGTCTGGAGCAGAACTCGTAATGAGGCGGATCAGCCAGCCAGGTCATACAGTACCTCCTCAGCTGACATCTCTACACAGCACTCCTAACAACCAGAAGCCCAGGTTGTCATTCTACCCCGTAGATGCAGACGGCTCCACGGACAGAGCGAAACAAGCGGTGCTTTATCTTCACCCGTCCCATGTATACGCACGCGACGATGAGGCCGAGCTAAGCGCTATGATGGCAGTTTACACCCAGCCGGCACCGTCAACAGGTGTTAGTCCGATTCTTTTCCCCTGTCCCATAGGCCCAACGTCGGCCCGGTCAGAGTCAAAGAGACGCTCACGACGACAGGCAAAAGACCAGTCTCTCAGGTAGAATGGCAGATGAACGAACTCTTGAGGGATTTCATTTCCTCCTTCATCTTCGGGTACCCATTGGTTAATCCATTACGTGTTGTAAGATAAGCACATTAGACCCTTGTGAAAGAATGCTGTTAACGGGTGGTTTTTGATGTCCCACGGCCTAATAAGGAAGGTTAGATACCCAGTGGGACTACCGGTTGTGCCGCTTGATCCGAAACATGGCGTTAGAAATCGGCTATTGGTAGTTGGCTGTTGTGGGTAATTGTTTTTGTTGGTTGTTGGTTGTTCGCTTTCTCGTATTCAGCCGTTGTTCCGAAGTCTTTATTGAATATATAAAGAGGGGGCCGAATCTTCTATCAAAAAGAGAGAGAAGAGGCATGCTTTTGAACATTGTGTTATCAAGCCGGCATCTCATTGCCATTCCGACATTGCATACTCTCTTTCAATCAGTCAATGGAAGCCTAGTTCTGTGTTTCCCTCGTCTTTAGAGATTCATAAGTAAACTGCTGCTATACTATTATGCTTTTTGAGTTGATCATAGCCATGTTGCTGGGTATATTTCGTGCGTGCGAAGGTTCTCCGACCTACCAAGAGGAGTACCGAGTCAACTACGTACCAAGATTTGTCGATTCGTGGCATGGCCCCCAGATTGTGGCGCCAGACACTCCGTACGTTGCAGCAGCGGGCCCAAAGCACCTGTACTTTATCGATACTCGGTTCGATCCCGAGACTGCGAAGCACATCAAAAAACAAATCGAGTGGGCAGCTGCTTTGATGGGCCCGGAGGACGTCATCAAGATAGACGAGATTTCGGCTACGGCGGAAGTCAGAAATGTCCCGACGAACGAAACACTGTTCGTCTTTGATCCCTCCTACGCCAGGATCTTTTTTGCAAAAGGAATCAACAGACGCAACCCGGATATCAAACTGCCCGAACATGAATCCGCTGGCGATTGTCTGGTGGCCCACGATATCGGTACTTCGTTGACGAAGAGGATAGGGTCCTGCTTTGGTCACGGCTGTGACACTCGCGCAGACTGCGAACGGTAGACAAATGGAAACTGCAATCTCTGTCACGACTATGGGGTTGATAGCGATTGTGACGGATCAGTGACGAATGCTGCCGGTTGAAGGTCTAGATGATACTAGGTCAAGTGCACAGCATGCTCCTGTTGCGTTCCTGGCGAGAGCATTCACAATAAACTAGATGTAGTCATAAGGCCTATTATACTCTGTACATGCACCATTTGGGTCGCACTCTAAATGTCATAGGCGCCAGCAAATAGACCTCCTTGTTACCCTCGTGTATTTATGGGCCTGCTCGAGAGGTTAATTGTGTAACTTACTACCCTGCAGTGCCTAAATACGGTCATCGAGTCTGAACCATGGTCCTTAAAAGTCGACTTTCTGAGACTCTATGCAACTCGTCCACCACTATAGCATACATAGCGTCTGGCCATACACAGCCCCCCAGGCCCGCTTCGCTTCTTTACATGAAGGATGCGATGCCTGAACAGGAACAGCGCCAATGATAACAGCAACACGAATGGCTCGTTACGTACCCCCTGGCGAGCGTCATCGTAGCATGAGGCGCAAGCGTGGCCCAGACTTTCGCCCGGTTGTTTCGCAGCACTTTGTAACAACGAGACAAGAAAGGTAGGTAGGTGGTGGTGAAGCGTAGGCTACGAAGGTATGGCTACAACTATTCGTACACACACAGCAGGGACCTATCACAGTGCTTTATTGTCGTTGACAACGAAGGAGAGAGCTTTTAATGTTGGTTTCACGTGCTCAGTAATGAGACGTAGTCGCAGGCGTGACAGCCGCGGTCGTCGGCGAAGGTGGGGACGAGGGGGAGGGGCCGGAAGCCGATCGGTGGAGTCGGACGGGACGAGATCCACCGGTGTCGCGGCAAGGCCCGGTCAGCGACAACGACTGTTCCGGGGTTGATGTTGGGGAAACATCAGCGGATGTGGGCAGGGCCGCTCGTCGTCTGAGACTCTCGACTTTGCACCCATTCCAGGTTCGTGCGGAAGGAAACATCTAGCTGGGAGGAGAGGTCAGACATGCCTTCCACCAAGTTCCTTCTCTCGGCCAAATCCCGATCCATTGTCTTCTCCTTCCGACTCAACTGGATGGATGCAAGCCAACGTACACCTCTCAGTTGTGTTTCACCTTGTCTCTTCCTTCATAGTACCTAACTAACATCACCAACCGTTCGAGAAATCGACGGCATCCACTCACTTTTCAACATGGTACATTTTGTATTTCCGTTGCTCGCGACCCAAATCCAACGTTTTGGTTCCTTCTGTTGTCAACTGGTTATCCGCCAACCTCCACCCAACGCCATGGTTAGCCGACCGGACCTCCCTGTCTTCCGAAGTCCAGGTGTGTCACAACCCTGGCGTCCAGGATGTCATCAACTCGACATAATTCGCCTATTCGCTTTTCCGCCACTGCATCTTTTCATCGTCGCTTTAGCATATAACTGCTTCAGTAATACTCCCAGGCCACCTAAGCCGACGATTGTCGACCCGGATGCTACTGTCGACATACTCGTACGCCATGTCGCCTTCTTCGGAGTCACTGGTTTGACGGTTTTCAAGTGCTTGAGGCATGCCCTGGATGATCCGACTCTTGTCTGTCATGTCTGTGAGTGTTTTTTCGTATGTTTTGGTTGTGGACTAGCCGCAAGGTTCGCCATGCTTTCGGTCACTTTTGTCTGATTGCACTATTCCAAAAATACATTCTCACAGATGTTCCTACAGATGTCAGAAACAGGTTGCTTTTAGAAACCATGATGGAAATTACGGGGACACTGTCTCCCAATCAAGCCGCTCGCCTACGAGTTGTGGCTGGAGGTTTGGATGACATGGAGACTCTCATCGACGTCCTTTTCCCCAAAGTGCTAGAGGGAGAACCCGTCCACATCATCATATACGGTATCGGGGGTTTCAGAACCCAGTGGGCCCCAGACAATACCCAAGGAATTATGGCAAATTCCTACATCTCTGAAGAAGCCGTTTTCACGGTCATTGCCGCACTCTTGGCGGGCTTTGAAAAGCTTGGGTCGCGGGAGAGGCCTCGGATCGTCAGCATAGGCACCATTTCCATCACCAGACAAATTTATCAATCGTGGAATCCCCTCGCAGTCAAGGCCAGGCCACTTTACGAATGGTTTATGGGCAGACAGGAAGATTCGGATCCAAGTCGACGAAATCCAATCGATCGTGACAACATCTCCAGCGACACGTCCAGCGACACGTCCAGCGACACCAGCAGTGAGCGTACCGCCACACAGCTCAGCTACGACAGATCTTTCAGTAGTGAGAACGACGAGACCAGCAGCTATTACGAAAGCAGTGATGACTCAAGCACCAGTAGTGGGGCGCAAACCGATACTGAGGCCAGCGAGGCAGAATCCACGTCGAGCATGGAAGTTCGGTCTGCCGATGCCGACAAATCCGCAATGGAGGAGGCCATCCGACACCATTACCCTTGCTTCAGCTCTTGCCTTATCGTTCGACCTACACTCCTCACCTACGATCGACCTTACGGACTCTAGGCGATACGGATCGGCGGGGTAGGGAACTCGGCTCCTGGATATACCATCGCCAGAAGAGATGTTGCTGAGTGGCTGTACTATTATGGCATTCTAGGCGCACGGGAAGGGACAGTCACGATCACTACATGAGGGCAGTTAGCAAATGTGTCGATTAGCAGAAGCGGGTTTTTTATTGCTGAATTGGGATCCTCAAAAGCATGCCTAGCGTTGGCTGAGATCAGCTAAAGTGTACAGCGATGTATGTATTCTCCGTAAATACAATAGATCGTTGGAAGAATATCCATACCATACGTCGCATCTTCTTTACCATGTTGTTGGAAGATTGGCGATGGTGAATTGCATACCGCCCATCCTCGCAACACCTGAACCCAAGCTTACCGCTGGCCGGTTGCTGAGCGTCCTCGGCCAAGCAGTCGAGTCCTTAAGAGAGTCTACTACTTCTCTTTCTGCTGCCGAACATGAACACTAAATTCAAGCCTCCGTCGTCACATCCTGGCCGCACGGTAATTGCAAGCGTCTAACGGATGCGGACAGGCGGAATGCGAAGAGTATCCACTTGGAGGTCCGACCCGGCCCCCCACCCCGCTTCGCCGCCGGCCGGCGGTCGGCACCTGGCGCCGCAACTATAATAGTCAGCGCTCACTTTGTCAGAAAGCCTTGTTTGAACCTCTGCGATGCATCCTGGAGCCCGGAAATACCGCTTTCGGGAGCTCTTCGTCACCGTGCTCTGTGTTTTCCGCCTAACATGGTGCTGCTTTATTGGCTAGCCGGGGCCACCGAATTTCTCTTTTTGCGCGATGCTTTTTTGCTTCCGACAAGCTTCTCTGTCGCAGGGAGAAAAAAAAAAAAGGATTTTCTTCCCGCAACGAAACACATTGTCGGTCGAGTTCCTCCAAACCAATGCTATAGGCAGAGATGGCTGGTCGAACCGGTTTCGCGGCACCCGCTTCCGCCCTTGGAAGCGAGTGGCAAGAAACCAAGGAGAGGCGTTACCATCAGTGTACCCCTGGCCCCCTAGTCTTTTTCTATCCTACTAGGTTCCTCTCCATCTTCGTTTGTTCTTGATACATCGACGACTGTCTGTTTGAGTCTTGAAGTATCAGAGAGATGGAATGCCGGTAAGTGACGAGAAAAATGTTGAAGGAGGTACGTTTGGCTGAGCTACTAAGACGTATCATCTCTTAGGGCCTTCCTCTGAGACAGATTTCTCAACATAGAGACAGCACAGGATTTAAACTCGTTACAGAGACCGTATCATTAGACCGCGTTATTGTATACTTGATTGGCATGCGCCTGTTAGTCATCGACCTCGATGTCACCAGGGACTGTGTTCATCATATCGTATCCACGGACACTCTCCCATTCACCCCAGGCACAATATTCCCTTAACATCCACCCATCAACTCGGGCCACACTCGCCTAGAGATCTTCACCCTTAGACCGCTCTGGAGGACCGTCAGCAAAGAATGTCGACGACACGGCGAAAAGGAAACACTCGACCACTTACCCTGAGCCATGGCGAGCCAAGCCTGTCAAAGTCGAGGTCGTCGAAACGCACAGTCCGAGGTTGGTCTGGGGTCACCCATCCGATGTCGTAGCAGCGAAGAAAGGTGGTCAGAGTTTGGGTGACGACGATGGCAGCCATCTCCTCGCCGGGGCACCGGCGACCTCCGCCGTCGAGGACCGCGCACTGGGGCTCCTTGCCCCTGTCCCCGAGGTCGACCAGCTTGTTCTCGGCGTTGAGCCAGCGTCCGGGCATCCAGGTGTCGAAGTTCGGGTAGCTTTCGGCGTCCTCGTACTTCAGCGATGCGGCGGCCGCTGCCCGGAAGCGCTTCATTGCATTGTAGTAACGCGTCGTCTCCTTGATGCAGGCCTGGAGCAGTGCGGAGTCGCCTGCCCCGCCCCGGGCATCTCTCTTGACGGCAGCCATGACGTCTGGGTGGCGCAGAAGCTACGATACCGTTGTCAGTCTCTGCGGAGCAATCTCTTACATTCCCGGGACACGTACGCAAACGACAACCCACGAAATCACGGCGGCGGTCGAGGTATCGGAAGCCAACATGAGGACAGTGTGATGAGAAGCGAAGCAATGCCTCAGCGGCGCCGTGCCCCTGTCGTGCAGCATGTACGTGATGTAGTCCGGCAGGTCGGATCCGAGCTCGCCGTTCTTCGCATCTACGTGCCTTTGGCCGAGCCTTTCCCAGAAGATCTCCCTGACCCGTTCGCGAGCACGGCGCAGGCGTCGGGCGGGCGGGTAAGGCGCCCAGTCAGGAAGCGCCGAGCACCAGAAGTCGCCGGCGTCGCGCTCCATCGACCGCACGAGACCCAAGAGCTCGTCGCCCGACTCGCAAAAGTCGTCGCCCATCGAGCTTTTCACAAGAACATTGTGCGTCAGTTCCGAGACTCCGGCGAACAGCTCGACGTCGCTCCTCGTCGTCCACTCCAGCGCGCAGCTGTGCGTCTCGTCCGTGGTGCATCTGGCTATGTGCTCTTGCACCTCGGCGCGACCCATGTACCGGGGAAGAGATTCAAACATAACCCTGATGTTTTTCATGTATTCTAGATCGACAATCTTGTTGAGAGAGGCGCCCTTGGTTTCGTGCGTTAAGACAAGATGTTCCACGAATGTCTCAAACCAGGTTGAGATGGCTCAAAGGGGGCTCACCATTCCATGGCAGAATGAAGGGGCATTCTCCGAAACGTCGATATGAACCACTTTGAGCTTCATAGTACGAAGTAAACAGTTGTAGATCGTTTGTAGTTGAACTGAGAAGGCGCTTTCGCATCGCACTCCCGCCTCACGGATGAGCGAAATGGGGCTGGCTGCATAGCCGGGCGCGTTACCGAGGAAGGACGGGAAGCCCTTGCTGTGGTAAGGCGACGTCTTGCTAGGCTTCGAGTACCATTTTGCGAGGAGCAGGACTGCCACGAAAACAAGCGGCATCAAAAGCACGGCCATGGTAACGAGCGGGTGTGGTATGGCAAAAACACCAGGGAGCAAGGAAACGACTGCAGGCAAAGCACCCGCTGCTATACGCAGTGAGTGGTCTCTCGACTCCTCCGGAAGAAAGATAAGAAGAAAAAGAAAACAAGAAAGGAAGGCTATAGGAGAAAGATGGGAAACCTATGCCGACGACTGGTGCTTCTTATAAATCCTGATCACTGGTCCCGCCCGATTCTTTGCCCAAACGCCCATCAGCCATGAACGCCGGAGGTCCGCGCCAAGCTACTGAGACAGCACATCTTGGCATAGGATGTTGATGTTGATTATGTTGCAACACATGGATCAGCAGGATGGGATACACGTGCGATCAAGCCTTCGGTGCCAAGGGGGGGGGCTCTTAGGGGGCATGGGAATGCGGTTTCCAAGGGATGAGCCCGTAGCAACGACGGGGCAACACGGCAACTCCAGAGCTCATATAGATATCTTGTTATGTTTTCTAGTTCCTGTTATTGATACATTGTTGCATTTGTTGGGTGAATACACATGCTATTACGATTGGTCGAGGTGAATGAGGATACCAAACATGTAAAGAGAGATGAGGGTGGTGTTGTTGTTTGTTTTACCGTTCCTGTTTGTCCGTCTTCCACGTGCTGTGGCTGTGATACGCCCACAAATCAACAGCAGAGACGACCTGATTAGATTCTGGGGTGCCATCAGGTTGTCTGCGCAGCCCCCGTGATGAAAACTTGTGAAGGCTGCGGCCAACGACAGAGGAACCCAATTGCAACCCCCCCCCCCCCCCCCCAAAAGGAGGGAACCCGACAGAGGAGAGTACTGAGATGAAATAAAAGGCCATACAGGTAGGCCCAGCATTGAGCACAGGAGCGGCGTTAGAGTTCTCGTAAAAGGAGCCGATTGGCCATGGACATCGGATGAGAGAGAACAAGCTCTTGCCCGAGGTCACATCGTCCGCGTCGGGTTTGTCTAATCGGAGCGGACTTTTTCTCTTGCTTCCTCCCAGTCCCACCAACCGACCCCGGTGCAAGCATTACCGGAATCTCTAAGCAGGAAATTCGAACCATGACCGCTATACTTGATAGAGGTGCACCAAGACCCGAAGAACTCGGTGACGCAGCGAGTCTTTTGAGGTATGTTTGATTGTTCAAAGGGCATGTCGATGCCACCCGCCAGTACGCTATAGCTGAATCTTGCTGTGTTCCATCGGGTGGTGTGTACTTTGAAAGTGGCACGGGAGCGATCGGGGCAAACCGAAGTCCGGTGGGAGGGACAGCAACATACAACATCGTTTGCTTCTCATCTCAGGCGGATAAGTGCTTGGCTGGGTGTCCTGGATCCTTCACATGAGCCGGGGGTCCAAGCAGCACCGAACCTCATCTCATCCCGCGCGCACAATCGCTGACCCCGAGACAGACAGCCTCAGACCATCATCTGGCTCAAGACCTCCGACCAGTCGTTCGCCATCCACAAGTCCCTCCTCGTCGAGTCGTCCAAGTACTTCCAGCGCTGCCTCGACGGCCCCTTTGCCGAGTCGGCGACCAACACGATCGACCTCAACGACGATGACGCGGACGACTGCGGGCCGGGCGCGAGCGTCAGCCCGCTCACCCTGGGCACCTACGTCAAGCTGTGCTACTTCACCCGCCTCACCGCGCAGCGCGTGCGGCGCTCGCGCCGCAACGCCGCCGACCACACCGAGGACTCGTACGAGGTCTCGCCCTTCACCCTGAAGCCCTGCGACATGCACACGCCGCACTGCCTCGTCGAGCTCGTCGACATGTGGTCCCTGTGCGACCGCTTCCACGACGACCTGCTGCTGGGCAAGGTCTCGACCGCCATCCGGGAGACGCTCGACGTCGGCGCCCGGAGGCTGGGCGACGCGCAATGCGCCGAGTGGTGGGTCTTCAACTTCGCCAACGGCCACGCCGCGCTCGAGGGCCTGCACCGCCGGGAGGACGACGGCGTCGAGGGCCTGCTGGAGAGGCTGAGGGAGCTGTTCGTGCAGAACTGCTCGCCGGCGTCGTGGGAGCGGCTGGCGGGCCAGCTGCCGAGCGGGTTCGTCGTCGCCGTCTCGATCGCGTTCCACAAGAAGATGGCGGCGCTGGTGGCCAACGAGGCGGCCATCGCGAGGGTCAACGGTGCGAGCCTGTGTTACGAGTGCAAGACCAGGGTCCAGACGGCCTTGAAGCGATGAATGCAGAGCCGGATCAGTCCCTATTTCGCCCATGAGCATAACCCAGACTCACGTGGATAAATGACTTGTGGAACCACTCCGCATCTTGCAAAGCCATGCAATGTGATGAGTAACTGCTGTTGGCCTTGTCTTCAATCATTTGCCTCCGGGAATAAGAGGGGAGGGGAACTTGACAAAAAAAAGAAAAAGAAAAAAGCTTTTGACACCTGTTGCTTTTCGTCTGTCTGGAACGCATTCGATCTATATATATGCAGCCATGCCTCTTTCCTCCCCCCCGCAAGCCCCGCCATATGCCTTTTTGGTGCCCGTCCGTCTACCTCATAGCGCAGTGAAGTGCAATAATAAGTACATGCCCGGCGCCTGCCACGATGCAAGACCCAAAACAAAGAGAATAGCTGAGTATTGTTTGCCGTCCGCCAGGCGGAGATGTTATACAAGGGTTTGTGTGGTGTGCTGGGAGGAATCAGAGGTGCCAATCGGGGAGCTGAAAGGCTCTGTTCTTTGGCCAGTTCTCCGTCCTGTTGGGGGAGATATGAGTTAGCAACAATACAGCGGGTGCAACTCCACACAAGGAAAGGAATCTTACCTGGTGGTCAGCAAGACCGTCATGCGTTTCCTCCGCTCCTCGGTCTCTTCCGCATCAACGAGACGCAGCCACTGGCCGAGCAGCTGCCTCAACTCGTCGGCCCCACGACCTCTGCAGTCGATGCCGCGCTCGGCGCACGCAATGCGCACCTCCTGTTCCTCAAGCCCGGCCGGGCCGCCGTCGCGCGCCAGCAGCCTGTCGTCGCCCTCCAGGAAAGCCATCCGCAGCCGGCCCTTGGTCTCCCAAAGCCCCGGCGGGAAGAAGCCGAGCTTCTCCCACATCATGCCAGGCACGTGCAGGCTGCGGAGCACATGCTTCTTGGCCGCCGCTGGCGCCATGCCCGGCATGATGCCCAGGGGCGCCTCCTCCTCGAACTCGATGAAGGACTTTTGACGGCGCTCCTCGGCCTGCTTGAAGCCGGCGTCGATCTGCCGGGGCAGGCGACAGGTGTAGGGCACGACGCCGTCGACGAAGATGACGACGAACGGGGTGAACTCCCCGCAGACGAGGAGGACCAGGCCGAAGAGCGGGACGCGGAGGATGTCGTGGCGCACGCGCCAGAGGAGCATCCAGTCGGCGCGCGAGAAGCCCTCGGGGATGAGGCCGGGCGTGAAGACGGAGGGCGAGCGGAAGCCCTCGACGGAGGCGCTCTTCTCGGCGATGGTTTTCTGTATCAGTCTGCGGTTGGAGAAGACGGCCTTGAGGCCCGTCTTGTAGAATTTGATGTAGGCCTTGCCCGTCCGGTAGAGATGGCCGATCGTGGTGGAGTCGGGCTTGTGCTCGGGGAGGTTCAGGGGCGCCGGGCGCGTCGAGGCCGGGGGGTTGACTTTGGCGCTCGGGACGGGGGGCGAGGGAGGAGCAGCGGGTTCGGTGGCGGCGGAGCTCGCCAGGCGGCGGTAGGGTGTCGTTGTCCTCGCGACGGCGGAGAGGAGGAAGGGTGAGCGGGCAGAGCTTGCGCAAAGGCGCGAAGACGGGACGCGCATTGCGCGAAGCGTCGTGCTGTGATTCATCGCATGGGCGTATAGGGGGTGGTCAGGAGGAGAGGAGTCTGTTGTTGAGAGAGGAGGAGGAGAGGGTGATGAATCAGGGTCGAGGTTGGAGTCGTGAACAGGGTGGCCGTGGCGGGACAGGTATGGAGTGACACGGTAATCGACTTGTACAGGTAATTAAACGAAAAAAAGTATACCTAGGAAAACGTACCAATTGGTGCCGTCACTGATTGATCACCTCTACCGCTACAGCTTTCTTATCGCTTATCAGACCTCGTCCCTTGCGTCAGCCCCACCTTGCACCCTTCCACCACCCGCCGTGTCGGGTTCGGGAGAGCGGCCCCCATGACGTTGGTTTCTTTATTTTCGCAATTGGACGTCCCAATTGCTTGTTGGAAATGGTCCCCCGCCGATCGATTGGAAGGGGAAGGTATGGATGGCGACAGGTACTCGCGTCATATGCGACGAACGGAATTGACGTTCTTGGTTCCTGCGTATCGGGGAAGTCCCGGGCAATGGGGATTCACTTACAGGTCGTGTGAGTTTACGTTTCATATTGATTGACAATCAGGACGGCGAAAGAAAGGGGCAATGCAGTCAAGCATGGCGGATATCCACATCCTGCATCGGGTCATCCACGCATGAGATTCCTGGACCGAAAAGCACTACTTCAATTTCGATACTGACTATTCCCATCTGCTTCAAGAGCGTTCTTTCATGCATCAGACTGGGTTGTCGGTGCGGAGCGTGTTGCCCGCAACCAACCAGCCAATTAACCGCTTCCATCAATCCAAGTGTGGGTCGACTGGATGGGTCATAATGCAAACATGTGCCGCACCGATCAACCAAGTGAGGCTTAGCCTCAATCTCCCCTTGGTGTAGTTGGTTCATCACGTTCGACTGTAATGGTTACATTGTCATCGAAAGGTCTCTAGTTCGATTCTGGAAGGGGAGAACATCCTTTTTTTCGACGTTTTTCATCACGTTGCTCGTTGGTTCGCATTCCTCGTGGTGACGGGTTGTCTTGATTTTTGTCTCAGTTACACACTCACTCCTCCGCGCCCTGCCCGAACCACATTCGGAACCAACCCACCGCCTGGTCCTCGTCCCGCCTTCCATAATCCGCCTGGCTCCGGTTAGTTGGCCCCCTGACAGTGAGCCAGTCGGCGAAGGAGCGGGGGGACGACATCTCTTTTGCGTGGTTGTTTGTTCTAGCGGCAAGGCACTTGCGTTGCGGTGCGCTGGAGCAAAAGTCGGGGGTGGCGAGCTTCTGATTAGACGGCACGCCGATTGATTGAAGGAGACAGCACCGCGGGTCAATTCTCCTTTGGCCCAAAGAGGGAAAGAAAGCCAACGATGATGGAAACAGTGGATTGATTATAAGACGACTTGCCCATGCGGTTTTGCTTTCACTTCCACCTACATCCAGCTAGGACCACGGTCTCTCTCTCGGACACACGGAGGGTTTCGACCCGATAGTCGTCATGACGGCACACACTGCGAATTCCAGAGTGACGCTTACAAAAACCGTTGGAGGTTGGAGGTTGATTGGTTTCGCTCTCCCCTCGTCCGTGGGAAGACCAGACCTGCTGCCCCTTGGAGCCAACGCACGGCTGGCCGCACCGGGGGTTTCGGTACAGCCTCAACGCCCCTCCCCTCCAGGTGATCTGCGGACCGCGCACGGGTTGATGGCGGATTCCACTCCGATGAGGGGAGTAGTTACACGTACACAGGTAGTCTCTTGAGACTGCGGGTGCGAGCGGGAAGGTACTTGACCGGGAGGGAGACAGAGTCACAGCGACGGGGCTTCTATCATGCTGGGACACCGGGGAAGCGCATCAAGGCTCCACCGGAAGGGAGGGACAGAGGCACTCCCCCTCCCCACTTGGAAGAACCCTTCCCCCGGCGGCGCGGCTTTCGTTAGTTAGGGAGGGAAACATTTACCTGCTGACAAAAAGCCACCACCCGCCCGGGCCCGGACCCTGACGAAACCAATGGAGGAAAAAAAAAAAACAAAAAAAAAAAGGGAAAAAAAAGGAAGCCCCCGCTCACCGAGTCTTCACCGGCGGGGGGGATCTGACGTGATTGGGCTAAGGGATGGAGGGGGGATTTCAACACACATTTTCATGTCCCTCTGATATCGAGAGTCACCCGCCATCTCACTCCGTCCTCATTTGGAGAAACACCAACAAGTCGCGTCTTCTCAGGGATCGCCAACCATTCACGTCTCATACCTAGATCTCATATACTTTGGCACATCCCAATTCCTTCATTTCATCTTTTTTTTCATCTTTTTTTTCCTCTTTGAATTTTTATCTTATTTTACTTCTTCTTACAGCTAGCCCATATTACCCCCCCCCCCCCCCCCCCCACCATCTCCCACACAGACGATCATGGTAATTACACAGACCTTCATCAGCCCTAGCCTCGTTGGTATACGAACCCATGAGTAACTCTCGAAACAAAACAGGTTCACGCCGACGCGTCCAACTTCGCCAACGGCGTCACCAAGGAGGAGGCCTACGAGCAGGTTCTCCTGCAAGCGGAAGGCCTCTTTGACGGCCAGAGAAACTGGGTACATCCCCCTTCTCCTTCTCACGCCTGCATCCTCAGGCACCCCTACTCGATATATCAACTAACATCTCACAGGTCTGGTAAGAGCCCCTTTAAACCCCCCATCTTCCCAAACCACGGGAAACACGCCGGGAAAAAAAAGGGCAATCATAAAGGGGAAGAGAACTTCACACACACACTCACTCACACACACACACACACACCCGCTCACACTCTAACCCCACCCAGCAACCTCTCCAACGCGGCCTCCCTCCTCTGGCACGCCTACCACTCCCTCCCGCCGCCCTCGACCTCGGTGAACTGGGCCGGCTTCTACGTCCTCGACCCGCGCGCCGCCCCCGGCCGGCCCTCGCTCATCCTGGGGCCCTTCATGGGCAAGGTCGCCTGCCAGACCATCCCCTTTGGCCGCGGCGTCTGCGGCGCCGCCGCCGCCTCGCGCGAGACCCAGCTCGTGCCCGACGTCGACGCCTTCCCCGGCCACATCGCCTGCGACGGCGACAGCAAGAGCGAGATCGTCGTCCCCGTCGTCGCCGACGACGGCAGCCTCGTCGCCATCATCGACGTCGACTGCACCGTCACGAGCGGCTTCGACGACGTCGACCGCGTCTGGCTGGAGAAGCTCGCCGCGCTGCTGGCCAAGAGCTGCGACTGGTGAGGCGGAGTTTGGCTTTCTTTTTCGTCTTTTCTTCTTCTTTCCCTTTTCCCGTCGTGGACGATGGAACGAAGGAGGGAGGGGGGCGAAAGGAAACTTTGCCCGAGGCCGGGAGATCTGGACCGGGCTCGCTCGAACGGGCATCGTTCATGGGTGGCGCATCTCGGACAGAATTACACGCGGGCGCGGCTGAGGAGGGAAAATGGTAAAGAGATGGATGGGGTGTACGTCGTTTCATCAACGGCTTTTCATCAGGGTTCGACAGATAATCTCCAAGTAGACAAGGCTGGAGAAGGCTCTCCGGCAACGGACATGACTCAACAAAGAAATAATAGAGATTGAGCACGCTGGAGTCAACCTCCGCGTCATGACTAAACTTTTTCTTCAGTTGATGTCCTTCATCCCATGGGGCTAAGAGATTTATTCCCCTGTCCGGTTTCCAAAAAAATCTCCCTTCCCACTTTCTCCCTGCTGCCCATACAACCTACGAAAACTCTGGGGTCGTGAAGAACATGTTCCCGTTTTACGTCGTCGCGTCGTGAAGCCGCTAGGCACATTCACTGCAGAGCCTTCTTGGCAAAGTTGGGCAGGATGAAGGCGGCCTTGTGGATCTCCGAGTTGTAGTACCTGCACAGCTTGTCTTCCTCCTCAGGGGACCACTTGCGGAGGGGCTCCTTGACGTTGCGGCTGGGGTCCTTGCAGCAGACCATGAAGCCAATCTGGCCGCTGGGATAGGTGGGGATGGTGGTGTAGCCGTACTCGGCTACGGGGAAGATCTCCTTGCAGTCCTTCTTGAGCTTGCAGATGAGCGGCATGTGAAGCCACTGGTTCTCAGCTGTGGGTGATCGATCTGTTAGCTAGTCCTGGTCTTCACGGCACACTACAGAGGAAATGGCTTCCGATGATCATAGAGAGCGGAGAGAACCAAGACATTAGGTAGAAAGAAAGGACCAAAAAGAAAAAAGGAAAAAAAAAAGAAAGAAAAAATGAGTCTCGAGCACACACGCAACGCTTTTCCGAGTTTTAACGACAAAGGAGATGGAAAAAGTGTTTACTGGTGACAACCAAGGCTCGCCGGCCGCCACTAGGCGCAAAAACCGGGGTGTTTCACGGGTGGAATCGAGGCGAGGTCGAAAAAAAGAGAAAGAGGTAGGGCGACGTTGAGGCCGCCCTTGGCGATTCTCTCCTGGACCCGAGACTTCCTCGATCCCTCCCTGGCATCTCTGAACAATGGGAACGTACAACCTTGGGTACTGATGACACCGCCCTCCCGAAGGGCGTCGTGAAGGAGCTGGAAGTAGGGCTTCTCGAACAAGGACTCGGCGGGGCCCTCGGGGTCGGAGGAGTCGGTGATGATGACGTCAAAGGTGTCCTTGTACTCCTCGAGGAACTTGAAGCCGTCGCCGACGTGGGTCTTGGCCTTGGGGTGGTCGAAGCCGACGGCCATGTTGGGGAGGTACTGCTTGGAGAGGCGGATGACGGCCTGGGAGACCGTGTTAATAGGGGCGATGAGTTGTTCTCGTGGCTCAGCACGCAGTAGCATGCCATGTGGTGGAAATTACCTCGTCAATGTCGCAGAGGATAGCCTCCTCGACGCACTCGTGCTTGACGACCTCACGGAGGACGCCGCCGTCACCGCCGCCGATGACGAGGACCTTCTTGGGGTTGGGGTGAGAGTTCATGGCCAGGTGGGTGATCATCTCCTGGTAGGAGAACTCATCGCGCTCAGTGGCCTGGATGACATTGTCCAGGACCAAGACCATGCCGTAGTCGGTGGACTCGAAGATGAGGACATCCTGGTACTGACTCTTCTCGTGATGGACGACCTTCTTGACCTTGAGTGTCATGGCCTGGCCTGTGACGGGTCGTTAGCAGGCGGGCCATGTCACCGAAAGAGGTCTTGGGACTTACCAGGCCACATGTCCGAGATCTCACGGAACCAGCCATCTGTGAGTTATCCGACGGGTTAGCACGGTGTCCGACGATTCATCTCTTCTCATTTGGTTCTGCGATGGGCCACTTCAGTCTCTCCGCTGCTGCCCCATCTGCACTGTCGATCCTAGGAAAGCGTCTTGTCCGGGAGGCCGGAAGGGAACAGCGTGGCGACATGTTTCACGACGTCAAATTGTCACCTCAACAAGAGGCTATACACGAACAACGATCTGCGCGCAGGGGAGGACCTTTGTCTCCAGAGCAAGTGCTTAACCGAGATCAGCATGAAAGGATCGTGCATGGGGCGCTCAGACGGTGGGGGACCAGAAAGGGGGCTGGTAAGCCACCCGTCGGTAGTCGCGGGAGGTTGTTGGCGATTGACGATCTTGCTGGATTAGGCAGCAATGATCCGGTCTGCCAACGGCGCGACGCTATGGACGGGACGAAACGAGACGAGACGAGACGAGATCAGGCCAGGCCAAGCCACGACAGACTACCTGGGCGACGGGACCGGTGGTCAGTGGCCGGTTGCGATGACCCATCTGCCGTAGCGCGGCGCGCAAGCCGAAGGCGTTGGACAGCGGTGAAATGACATAATATCGGTGTACCAGGGCCCCTTGCGAAACAGGCAGCGACAAGAGTCCGGAGTGCGAGCAGCAGTAAGGAGGAGCAGCCCCAGCGCAGACGTAGAACACGGAGATTCAGGGAGGGGAAGACGGACGAGCAGCAGGAGGTGGGAGTAAGAAGAAGACAGGAAGGAAGGATGATGGATGATGATGGGTGGACCGCACGAACCTTGAATGGTAGGATGGGCAATTTCGCTCATTTTTGCGGTAGACAGGAGGTTAATAACGGGAGTCCCGTGTAGGTGGTGTAGATATCGAAATGTCGAGAGAGGCGCAGGCAGACAAGACAGATGTCGCTGATGCAGACGCAGGAGTCGAGAAGGGAGTGGTGATATATGAAGGAGAAAAGCCACGGCGAAACAGTAGTGTGAGGAAAAAAAAATCAAAAATCGAAAAAATCGCGCTGCCGTCGATGATCAAAAATAAGAATTAAAATGGGTGGTGCTTTGACGTATTGTGGTTGGCTTAGCGATGCGGTGTGAATTGTGTGTGTGTGAGAAGGGAAAGCGGGTGCCCGCGCAAGAGTCAAGAGTCAAGGGGAAAAGAAAAAAAGAAAAAAAGAAAAAAGGAAGAAAATTTTGTGGCTCCGGGGTGGCCTCGTTTTGAAAGTTGGAGAGTATGGGAAGAGACGATGACATGACTGGCCAGCTAGCCTCATTGAGTCGTCAAGATTCTGGACGGAGATCCATTCTTTCCCCTCTCCTCTCCTCCTTCCTTCTTCTTCTTCTTCTTCTTCTTTACCCCCAACTAACTGCATGCATGCAGATGGCAGTTCCGGCATCAGTGTACCGGTAGCGTGTGTAGGAGCCTCTTCCCCTCTCTGTCAAAGTCTGTGTGTCGTGGGTCGTTGGTCGTTTCCCCCTCTTACCGGCAAAAGAATGGTACCTAAAATAGGTATATCATGGGGCACCATCGCATTGTCAGTGCGCGTACGTTGGGTCTCCGCTGAGGTGCCTGACTTTAATCAGTCAGTAGTGACAAGGCTTTTTTCTTTTTTGCCTTTTTCCTTTTACTTGTCTGACCACATCCGTATGCACAGCTCAGCCTGCGGTCTGCATGGGGCGTTATTCGTTTCGACATGACCGTAAAACCTCACTTCCAGCTAGGGTTTGATCTTGGTTCGTGATGGACGAGCACACCAATACCGCTTCCAATCGCGAAAGGGGCACATGCTGGTCGATGCTGAGTACACCAAAATACGATTAAGGCATACGGGGGTTTCAGGAGCGGAAACGGAATCTCTTTGGTCGTCGTCATCATCGGGGTTGCGGCCCAAAGGCAAACAAGCAAACAAAACAAGTCTCTGCAGGAAAACGTGGCGAGCCAGGATCTCCATCTCTTCCCGCAAACTTCTTTGGCTCCTGCCTTATGTACATTGTACTATGTATCTCATATGTTCTTGCGCGCCTTCACTACCTACGTAGTAAGTAATACCTACCTACCTACCTACCTAGATAGAGGCGAGAACGAGATACGTATCCAAGGCGGTTTCACTCGCCTACCTGGTAAGAAGGGCTACACAGGTACAGAATCAAACGCAAACACAGTCGGAAAAGCACGACACCGTAGAATCAGATAAGTCATTGATTCACCTACACCGAGAAACGAAACAGGAACTCGGACCAGAAAGTTGACTCCACTTCCTCCGCCGGCAATCAACGGCGGGGACCTATGGTCCCGCCGGCTATTCGGATCCGTCTTCACGCGCCTCGGATGCCCACTACCCGTCATCGTGTACGGAATGTGTACGGCCTTCCTTTGTTTTTGGAGAGATGGAGCCTGAAAAGACGAGACGAGATGGAATGCGATGACGCCGTGGGTGAGATCCGGCCCGACCGGCCCGACCAGCCTTCGGTAGGCTCACGCATGAGAAGGGAAGCCTCTTGCACTAGGTAGGTAAGTACCCGAGATCCTCCCATGGTATGGTCATTGTCTCGGAACATTCTCCAGCGGCAACTAGTAGTAGACGACAGAAACAAAACCTGTGGAGCGCCTACCCAGAAGTGAGTGGCCCACACTGCTTCCCGGTCGATGCGTCGGGGTTCCTTATTCTTCTGGGGGGTTTCTTTCTTTTTTCCCCTTTATCTTCTTCGCTAGCAGCAGTGGGCCGAGCTGCTGCTTATGGGCGCCATGCGGCGCGATACCATGTGCCGACGCAGAAAGCAGAAACCTTGGTTTTGGGGGGGGGGGAGAGTATAAAACGACACGTGAGCTGGCTACCTAGTCCATGCGGTGCATCGTGTGACAGAGCCCAAAGCTTACCGAGACCCTGCAGTGTTTGAGGACGACCCAGGAATCTTGTCCTTTCTTTTTCCTCTCCAAACAGGCAGGCCGAAACCCTGGCCAATCCAGCTGGCGGTTTTGTGCCGTGCAGCAAACCGTTCCGTTCGATCACAGACTGGTATTACCTAGACGAAGTTGATGGTCACCTGGACGCCCAAACGCTCGTCTTGGAAGCCGTCTTGGAAGCCGCCTTGGTTGCCTTTCTGTCAAAAACGAGACTTTCTGGCTGGCTGGCTGGCTGGCCGGCCATGTTCCTCAGACTCGAACGACGCGAGGACACACAACACAGCCTTGCAGGGCGGGCGGAAACCCATTGCGCGTCGCTGGGCGACTGGGCTGGCTGGTCGAGCCAGAGGGCTGAGGGCACTAGGTACCGGTATCTGGTGGGTAGCAACGTTGTATCTTGAGCGCTGGCACGGAGCCTCGTCCGTTACTCCCGTATGAGGAAGGGTCTGGCCTCATGGTCCGAGCGAGTATTCAAAGTTTCTACGGAGGTGCCTCCGTTGGCTTGAAGCTCTGGCACAGACGGCCGCCCGCTTACCTGCAAGCTAGCTGCAGCAGGTTTCGCCGTACGGGGGATATCTAGAACGTTGGCGATTATAGACGGCTTGAACACTACCTATAGTAGGGAGATCGATACCCGGGACCCTGACGTGTTGGAATGCTGGTAGCAATTGTATTGGCCTGTCGAACGAAGCGAGCTATCCTTTCATTCCTTCAGCTCTGCGACTACCATCCCTGCAGCTGTCATGCGTTGAAGGTTAGGATTGGCCGATGAAGCATCGCTGGGGTGGAGTGTCCGTTCCTGACTAGGATAAGAATACAGAACTTTTTACATCAATGGATGCAGGGCTTTCTAGCGGCGTTCAAAGCCAAGCGTTCAATTTTTCCCCCCCCCATCATCAGAGGTTCGTATTGTAGAATGAGACTCTGGTTGGTATAGATAAAGTGATAAGAGTGGTGTTTTTGTATGGGCGTTGCAGTGGCATGAATCAGGGGGTGACATGCCTCCCCACTGGGCGTTCAGCAAGGGTAAACCGCTCTTCGAAACCAAGGACCAGACCAGCATAATGCATGTTTATATGCAGCGCATTGTATATATGTACATTAAAACACATCAAGTGCGGTGCGGGTGCGGTAGACTCCCTTCTCGAGGGAGCGGCGGTACCTGCCTGCCTGCCAGCCACTGAAAGCGGAAAGAGTCTGCAGAAGCCAGTCGGTAGCGACGGACGGGGAGCTATGGCGGTGGCGAGCAGCGCTACGCCTGGAAACGTCCAAGGAGGCGTTGCCTTAGTGGGATGCAGTTCCGCAAACAGCAGCAGTCTGGGTGCACTAGCGGCGATCTTTGCCGGGCTTTGCTGGAGGGCGAGGCGTGCGACCTGGCCGCAGCTGCGCGGGTTCGCGCACACGACAAGCGACGCACAGCTCTTCAGGGCATTCCGGGAGAAAGGGCCCGATTGGGGTGGTGGTGGTGGCGATCTGGTATTGAGCAGGGGTCCGATATGCCATGATGCTACCGTAGTGTAGGAATACGTACGGATACACTAGCATATTTAGCCTGTAGGTAATTATTCGTACTGCTTGGAAGATGGAGACGGTCCATGTTTGGAGAATGGATACAACAAAATGAAGGCTCGAAAGGGGGGCCAATGGTTAATGCATTGATTGACCCGGCACGCAGAACCAACATGGTTGAATCGTGGTAGGGCGAGCCGCGCGTGCCTGGTGGGTGGCGGCAGGCAAGAACTCTCGAGGTTTTGAGTTCTAAACATATCGCGATGAAATCGAATGAATCAACAGGCCATGTGTCATGACGTTCCGGCGAGCGCTCTGCTCGGCCACGCATCGTAGTGTGTCGGAGAAAATGGACTGCATGCATCAGGCTTGTTTGTTTGTTTGTTTGCCATGTGCCAGTTAGCTTCGTTCTAACGATGATGAATGGCTTCCTTCAAAAGCATGCCCGACGCGCCTAAAGGAAGATCGTTCTGTTGCAGATGCTTCGAGGTGGCCGGGGTGGTGAATAGTAATTATAATGTCTGATCCTCTCGATGCGTATAGGTCTTTTTTTTCCCTCTTCTTTTTTCTCTTTGTATTTGTATCCGGACCCGGTACACAACTGGAACGAGTCGTCGTCCTGGCATGGCCGAGACTGCTTTGGGAGAGCTGCAATGGACTGGTAGACTGCGAGACCTACCTAAGCTTGGTGACGGATGGGATGTCTGAGATGATGAGCTTTGTTCCCCAGGTAGGTAGGTAGGTAAATATCTGTATACGTACTGTACATGTCCAGTACCGTAGGGCAGGGTGTCGCATGATGGAGGGTTGCAGCGATGTGTGTGGTGGGGTGCGATGCTACCGGGAGCGACGGGGAACTGGAGGCGGCTTGCCCTGAAGACCGACTGCATGCAAGTACATAGTACTGAGCACTCGTACCCACCCATCCCTACCTGCCAGGTGCCTCGAAATGCACTTCTGCGGCATCATTCCTCAATGCTTTCCTCTTGTGGGTGGGACTCCAAAGGCCCGGTCTGAATATGCATGTATGTAGAATACGCGTCGGTGAGGTACCTAGGTGAGTAGGTAGGGACGTGATCTATTGCGTATTGAGGTCGAGGTTCCTCTGGTTATCGTTCCTGCAGTAGTATGCCTGATCTCCTTTTCTACCATGTACCTACCTACATAATATTACGTTACATTACTACCTAGGTATAGATCTGCCTAGGTAGGCTGTACGTATCGTCATTCAGAGGTCGGGTTAGGTACCGACAGTCTGGCCCGAAGAGCGTGGTTCAATCTGTTCCTGCTTCCAGTCACAGCTCTAACAGTCAAGATACGTATTGTTCGTCGCGCTGTTTATACTTCTGTGCCCACCCAACACAGCAAGTCATGCCAACTCTGTTTATCCTCAGTCCCTTGCCCGTGCCGTGGGAGAGCCTGGCACTTTTACGTTTCGCGTATGGCCGAGACCACAACTCGTACCGATTCACACTCACTGGTGGAAACGCCAACAGACCAGGTGCGAGGTTTAACATTCGTAGGTCGGTATTCACAAACTGCAATGTACCTACGTAGCTGCTGCGTAGTACTATACTATAGGTAGCCTGTCTCTTTATGCGTCGGCGGCTTCGTCCAGTAGGTACAGATACAGATACATATACAGTAATTGTACCTATAATGCGTGGGTAGGTAGCGTATTGTACAGTCTTACCGAAACTTGGCTGGGCAACCCTGCCTGGTACCCGTGTGTAGTGTATACGTACATCGTCGTACCCTGTCGACCTTGGGCAGGGGGCTTCCTTCAGTGGATAAGTCGCGCATGTATACGCATGCTTCTCTTCTCCTCCTGTTCTCACTCTTTGTTGGATTTTTGCTCTCCGCTTCGTTGTACCTGCCGGCCCCGCGCTTCTCCGTCCCCTTCTCTGAGGCTTCCATCTTCCCTCGTTCTCTCAATCCCGCCTTTGGACAGAGAGAGAACCAGACAGACAAGACCCATCACCTCTTGTTATTCGTCTCGCCTCTCACCTCTCACCTCTCGCCTCTCGCCTCCTCCCCCCCCCCCCCCAACGACTCCATTCATCACCCCTCATCGTCGTCGCCATCTTTTTCCTTTCTCTGTTTTGTTTTCTCTTTCTTTCCGCGCTAGCACATTAGTCTTTCCACTGACACGCCATTGGCCTCTCCTGGCAGCCCAAAAAAAAAAAAAATACAGAGCCCCCCCAAGATTTCTAGCGCCTTTCTTCTTCCCTCTCTCTTCCTCCGGGGTTGTTATTCCCGCCTCTCGCTCCTTTCGACTGTGGACTACCTACCTACTCACACACCAAGGGTACACAACCGACTAAGTGGGTAACGCGTAGCCGTGTGTGGGACTTCTCTCAAACCGACAAAAGCTTCCTCCGCCCGCCACCACTCCATTCTTCAACCCTCACAACTAGACCGGCATTCTTCCACCACGCCCGTCTACCTGTCTCTGATTCTCCGCCGCATCCTCCACGCTCGATACTGCGCCGCGCGACCCTAGTCGGCCTCTTCCGTCGTCTTCATCTTTCTGGCCCGGCTGTCCTTGGCCTTTTCTCCTTGTCCTCGTCCGATCTTCCTGCCGTTCAACTCAACACCCTCGGACCACTGCGAGACCACGCACTTGCTCTCTCTCCCTCTCGACACCAATTCCCCGAAACCTTCCTCACCCGGCCTAGGTAGTCTCCTCGCATTTCTTCTTCCGCCTTGCTTTCGTCTTGGCTCCTCCTTTTTCATCTTTTCTTCTTCCTCTTCCTCCACTGGTCTGGTCTGGTCTGCTGCCGTTACTGGGCGTCTTCCACCGACTCTCCGTCCGCTGCAGAGAGGAACCGCATTCCTTTTGTCCTCTCCAACTCTTCGACGCCAACCCGGTCGGCCTCAAACCCGCCTCAATCGCTATTGCCGATCAACCATATCCAACAAACAGCACCATGTGCTTCGGGGCTCGAAAATCAGACGATGGCGGCGCTGTTCGCTCGCGTGATCTCGACCGCCTCATTCGACAGGATGAAAAACGTCTTGCAAAAGAGGTCAAGCTTTTATTGCTAGGTACACCGACACGAATATCCATCCACCTTGTAATACCTGGTGCGCCGTTCACTGACTTGTGCTCACTCGACAGGCGCCGGAGAGTCTGGAAAGTCTACTGTGCTGAAGCAGATGAAATTGATTTACGCCCAAGGTTTCAGCAAGAACGAGAAGCTCGAATGGAAGCCCGTCGTATTCAACAACATTGTTCAATCCTTTCGCCTGATCCAAGATGCCATGACCGAGATGGGTATCGATTTTAGCAACCCCGAAAATGAGGCAAGCAACCCCCCCCCCCCCCCCCCCTTGTGGTACGGCTAATCGCATGTAGCAAGCATGCGAGAACCCGCGACTGGTGTAGGCAACGAATCGAACGCCCTGGCTAACACTTAATTGTCTCGCCGTAGAAGCACATGGCGCATATCCTTGTGGAACACGAGATCAACGCCCAAGATCCCCTCCCGCGTGACTATTTGCAACCTATAAAGGAGCTCTGGGTCGATGAAGGTGTCAAACAAGCTATTGCCAAGGGCAACGAATTTGCTCTTCATGATAACCTGGCATAGTGAGCATTCAGAATCGTCCATACGTGATGCAACAAGTGGTGACTGACTCATTTAGCTTTTGCGACGACTTGGACCGCATCTGGGACCAGGGCTACGTACCCACAGACCAGGATTTGCTGCGCTCAAGATTGCGAACTACTGGTATCACCGAAACGGTCTTCGACCTGGGCCAACTGACATACCGCATGTTTGACGTTGGCGGCCAGCGTTCGGAACGAAAGAAGTGGATCCACTGCTTCGAAAACGTCAACTGTCTGCTTTTCCTCGTCGCGATTAGTGGTTACGACCAGTGCCTGGTCGAAGACAAAGATGGCGTATGTATATCCATGCGACATTTCCCCTTGCCGAGCTGACCAGACATGGACCAGAACCAAATGAACGAGGCGCTCATGCTGTGGGAGTCAATCGCCAACTCTCACTGGTTTACAAAGTCTGCGCTCATTCTCTTCCTCAACAAGATGGATCTGTTCAAGGAGAAGCTACCCAATAACCCGATTACATCACATGGCTTCACTGATTACCACGGCCCTCCCGATGACTGGAAAGCTGCCAGCAAATACTTTTTAGACAAGTTCCGCGCGTTGAACCGGAATACCGAAAAAGAAATTTACGGACATTTCACCAATGCTACGGATACGAATCTTCTCAAGATCACCATGGGCTCGGTCCAGGACATGATTATTCAACGCAACCTCAAGCAGCTGATACTATAAGGCAGAGCCTGCGATAATTGGGGGCCGGCAAGCGGCCCCAGACCAACTAACCTTGTCACATCAATCTGGCAGGCTTGAAACATGCCAACTCTAATCGATACCCGTGGCCTTCTTCGGCCCCATTCCCTACCTCACCTCGACCTCACGCGGCGACAACACCACCACCACCCACCCACCCACCCATTCACGACTTCCCGCACCTTCCTCGTAGGGTTGCGGACGCACCCTCGCACACCAATACGGCCTTCTTGTCGCAAATACCGAACAAGCCCAGCGAGGCTCTCCAAGCCGACATGGATGTACATTACTCTGCTTCATTTGTGTCCAATTTCTCGTTATCTATTATCCATATTGCCGGCTTTGGTCTCGACAGATGTTCTGGAAAAGGGCGGCTGAAACATTCTAGCCATTTATTTATTGCTTTTTTTTTGGAGGGGTCATCGTGGGAAGGGCGGCCCACGAGGTGCCTACGGCCAATACAAGAGCAAGGTATTCGGATTGGTCTTTGCTTCGATCCCCAAGGGCGGGATCGAGGCTGGTGGTAGGAGGGCGGTGCTGTCGCAAAAGGTGCTTTAAATGAGACGAAACGAAAGCATAAGAGAGGCCGGGGTGAATTGGTTTTGCTTGCAATGGATTGACACAAAATCACTTGTTTCAAGATTTGTCGCCTACGTTTTGGGTCAAGAAAGATGTGTGTGGTGTGGGAGAGGGAGAGAGAGTGTGTGTCTGTGTGGACAATACTGCGAGGATGATGGAGAGGGACGTGCAACGGCGGTGAAGTCGGCATCTCTCCTCTTCATCCGAAAGGGGTGGGGGGGGACGGCACACTGGATAAAACATGTTAAAAATCATCTAAAGAGCGTAATACCCATATGGGATAGGATAATATTGCCTGAAGAAACCTAATCCTGCCGCTTGTCTTATGTACGTGAGGTATTCATTTACTCAATGACATGGGACAGTGACGTACATGTGGCATGTTCCCAATCCAAGACAAGGCTGGATGTGGGCCACGAGAAGAAAAATCTAGATCGACTTACCTATTCAACACCCCTCTCCTCTCGGACGGATAGGGATCTCGACAGCGGGCTGTCATTGTTTCAGCAGAGCCTCTATTTCGCCCCGGCCCCGCGTGGCCAGGTAAGCTCACAGGGCGCTTGTTGCACGTTTCAGTCCCAGGGCGGGCTGCGAACGGACGAACTTGGAAAACGTGTGGGGGCAAACGGGCAGGCTTGGCGACGAGGCGAAGGCGATGGAAAGGAACGGACGGACCTTGGCTCGGCCCTGTTTTAAGTGGGGGGGGAGTACTTTTTCCAAATCTATTTCACCTAGGTACACATAGATCAGAACTTGTTTTCTACGATTCCTCGATTTCGACGGGTGGGCTGGGCCTGTTAGTGGTGCGAGCGGAATTTGTAGGAGGGGAGGGTGACTGAGACACTGAAGCCAGATCAAACGCGACTGAACTGTTGGAAAACGGAAGGGAAGGAACGATAACAACAACAGAAAACAGAGATATTGAGTAGGGAAAGTAAAACGTGATGACAAGAAGCCGAAAAGGCGTGCAATGTTTGTGTGTAGGTGGTGGCCAAGAACAATAGAGGAGCCCAAAAGGCCGATCGAACCCGGTCAGATCGGCCCAATTTTCCGATGAAGTGCGTCGGGCAATTCGGCGACCCCTCTGTTTTATCCGCACTGTCCCGGCACAGCAGGCACAGTAGTGTCAGTACCGTGTGCAAGTCTTTCTCCAGCAGCCGAACCCCCGACAAGGATGAGCTCCGATTGCGAAGCCGTTGTGCGGGCAAAGCTACCCCGCCATTGGAGCCATTCCCCCCTCCCCCACCATCCCCCATTCCCGGACTTCCAACGTCGTTCGATCCGCCGCGTCCTCCCCCTCCCCCCCGCCCCGTCTGCACAACCACTGCTTAAGCAATGCGCCTCGCCCTACGAACCCTTCGTACTCTGACATCCTCCATCCTCAAACCTTCCGCGCACCGCCTCGTTCCCTTTCGCAAGATGGCCACTTCGACCGCCGCCTCCCCGGTGCTCAAGAAGCCCGTCAAGCTGGCGTGTATCCAGCTCGCCTCGGGCGCCGACAAGGCAGCCAACCTCGCCAACGCGCGCGCCAAAGTCCTCGAGGCCGCGCGGGGCGGCGCCAAGATCGTCGTGCTCCCCGAGTGCTTCAACTCGCCGTACGGGTGCGACTACTTCCCCAAGTACGCCGAGACGCTGCTCCCCTCGCCGCCGACGCGCGAGCAGTCGCCCAGCTTTCACGCGCTGGCGGCCATGGCCGCCGAGAGCGGCGCCTACCTCGTCGGCGGGTCCATCCCCGAGCTGGACGGCGAGACGGGCAAGTTCTACAACACGAGCCTCGTCTTCTCGCCCGCCGGCGCGCTGCTGGCGACGCACCGCAAGGTGCACCTGTTCGACATCGACATCCCCGGAAAGATCACCTTCCGCGAGTCCGAGGTGCTCAGCCCCGGCGACTCGGTCACCGTCGTCGACCTGCCCGAGTACGGCCGCATCTCGGTCGCCATCTGCTACGACATACGCTTCCCCGAGCTCGCCGCCATCGCCGCGCGCAGGGGCTGCTTCGCCCTCGTGTACCCGGGCGCCTTCAACCTGACGACGGGGCCGATGCACTGGCGGCTGCTGGGCCAGGGCCGCGCCGTCGACAACCAGATCTACGTCGCCATGTGCAGCCCCGCGCGGGACGTGTCCGCGTCCTACCACGCCTGGGGCCACAGCCTGATTGTCGACCCGATGGCCGACGTGCTCGTGGAGGCCGAGGAGGGCGAGGCGACCGTGGCGTGGGAGCTGGACGGCGACAAGATCGAGGAGGCGAGGAGGAACATCCCCATCAACACGCAGAGGCGCTTCGACGTGTATCCGGACGTTAGCCAAGCCAAGGTCGACGCGTAAAGAAGGGCGAGGAGCCGGGATGGTCTGTTTGAAGCCGAAGTACACCCCCCTTCCCCCCTCAAGGCACACATAGAAGAAGAAGAAGAAGAAGAAGAAGAAAGGGGAAAGAAAAGGGGGGGGCGGTATTGGTGTTGGTGTTCGGAAAACGTGCATGTATATCACTGTGCTACCCATATAGAGCCAGCGTGGTATCGTTCTCTTTTTTTTTATGTAGTCGGGAAAGTCTATTTCCCCGCGCAACGTCGTCGCACCAGTTTCTGCTTCCAAGAGCCTCCATGTCCCTCATCTCTCAGGCCTCACCCGAGACTCGCGCGCACAGCCCGTCGTTGCTGGCGTTGTTTCTCTGCAGCCTTGGCAGGATTCAATGGCCGAGACAAAAACAGCTCCCAGACGGGAAGGGGAGGGGGGACGCGGATTCCCGGCTTTTCACCCTCGGCTACCGCCGTCCGATGCGTCTTCACAGACTCTCAAGAGCGATGTCGCCATCGGAAAGCCAAGATTCAGCGTTGCCCCTCTCGTCTCGTTAAGGGTCTGTTTCGTATGGCGCCGCGGGCTCGCCCGTTCATGTCTGCATGTACGAACCGACAATCGCTCGACACTGCCTGGGAAAGGCTGAGATTCATAGATGAGGTCTAGTATGGGGATATGTACAAAGCTTCTTCAAGGGTTTAGAGAGGGCCTCGCGAGCCGAATTCACACATCCCTCACTCACTCTCCGCAGCGAGCCAGTCTTCTTCTCTTCCAGCTTACCGGTCCACGACCGCCAATTCCGTGCTCGTACTTGGGAAGCCGCGGATGCCTGGCCGGGAACACACGGGCTCGGTTTGGTTCAACAGCAGAGGGCGTGATACGTGGCTGACTGCCAGATCCGGCACCCATGATGCTTCGTAATCTCGTAGGCATCTCCCCCCCCCCCCCCCTTCTCCTTGCCATAATCCACTTGAGAGCACCGGTTCTGTCGGCGACCGCATTCATGGCTGTGAGGACCTAACATGCAATGCCACACTCACGTCGAGTATGGTGCCAAGGATCAGCGCTGCCGTTCAAGTTTGCTCTCGTCGTCACGTTTAGGTGGGAGGGGGCCCATCTCGACCATGTGACCGAGAAGCGTCTGTACGTTGGTTCGGGATTATAGCCGCAGCTGGTTCATCTAGTTATCAACGTCATGCAAACGTGCCGCATAGACCAACGGCCTCTCCCCTGGACGCGGCCTCACCCCACTTGTATAGGTTCTTCGTCCGTCAGCGCGAGCTGTCTTCCCTCCAAGGGAACTAGCAACTAGCGATACTGACGGCACTGATCGCCGTCTCCTCCGTTCTCAAGATAGCCTAGCAACACGTCGCTTCCCGCCAACTCTGTCTTGGGCCCGCCCCAGTCTCTCGGCTTCTCTCACCAGCTCTGCCGTCAATGCAGCCAAACAAACAATCCCCCTCCCTCCCTCCCTGCTTCCTCGACGACATCCACAGCCTTGACGACCCCCTCGTACCCTCGGTCCTGCTCCAAAACTGCTAAATCCCCTGTGCCCCCTTCGCCGTCGCCTCCATCGAGAGCACAAAGCCTGGGGCAAACACGAATATGCGCAAGCTAGGACAAGCCAGAGAACCACCGCCAGCTGACGACGGTCTTTTGACCAACTGACCGGGGGTGTGATGGTGCCCTGGACGCAATTGGTCGTCTTCCGGGTTTGCCAGCAGTATCTGCAGGCCGTCCGTCTTCTGATGCAGAACGGCTCTGATGAGATGGAGTCTACAGACAAGCTGATAGTGTCCCCCCCTTCAACCCGAGAGTACCGTGCACGATAACAGCGATAAACCTCATATCCTAAAGGCTGTAGGTTTAAATCCAGTTTAAATCCAGTTTTCTTAGATTTTTATAGTTCCAAAACGGCTCCGCTAGGGAGGGTTGGAATAGTACTAACCCACCCTGCTTCCTACGCTGCGCTCTGGGTTGGGATGGGTTAAGACTATCCCTTTTGCCTCTAAGATAGTTGTGTTATCACCTGAATCCACTGTCTGCTGGACTCTGCATAGGCCAGAACGCAAGTACTCTCGGGTTGACAGGGGGGGGCGGGACACTATCAGCTTGTCTGATCACTCGATGAGATGTCACCTGGCTCAACCTGCAGGACGAGCTCCATTGACTCGCACTCGAACTCCTCGCAACTCATCAAGAGACCACTGGCGCGCAGCCCCTGTCGCAACAATGAGTGAGAAAGCTAGTTCCTTTTTGACGTAGCACAAACTCGCAGGATCCAATATTGGGACCCCAAACAAAGACACAAGCTAGCATTCATTCTCTTTTGAGCAACGTGCGTCTGCACACCTAATATCAATGACGGCCAGCCAGGCTGCCGTCACACGCACATCGCCTAACTCCGACATCATCATGGCAAGACAGACTTTCCCAGTATTGATAGTGTATAAAGTTATTATAGCTTTAGAATTTGTATGTTCCGTTTCCATTTTACTTATATAGATTTTTTTTTCATAATAACTTTCTTTTCCTGGCAGATATGTATTTTGATCCTATGAATTTATAATTAGCAAAATGCAAATTAAAGTAACTTTGTATTACTTTATTTGCCTTTATATTATCTGTAGACATATTTTTACAAGTTTTTTTTATAATATGAATAAATAGTGCTTTTTTATTCTTTAGAAACAGAAGGTAAGTACTTAACTCTACCTGTATTATTGAATCTAGAATTAAATGGTGTTAATTTAAACTTGTTGTTTAAATTAGAACAAATTTTTTTAGCGTTTATATTTAGAGCTTTTGCTTTCACAAAAGACAGCTTGGCCAGAAAAGAGAAAGAAAAGTGAAAGAAAAAAAAGAAAAGAAAAAAAAAACCGCTCACAAACCCTTATGCTCCGCGGCCACGCACATGGAAAACAGACAACACATGACAAACCCCTCCCCTCCCGGTTCACACTGCGTACCTGCGTTCCCTGCACCTTGAAATAGTCTTCTGTCAAGAGGTGTAGGCTTGTCTGTCTCTGGCCAAGCTGCGTACCTAGTTCAGCAGTGCAGCTCCCCCCCCCCCTGGCTCTTCCTGCATGATCCCCGCAACAGTGCACCACCACCACCACCACCACCACCCCCATGTCGCCCCGAAATCTCGGTGCCTAGAGAGCCCCTTGCTTGGAACAAGCAAAATTACCTGCAGCACGAGACAAATCGAGATAGCCTGTCTCCACCCGAATCGGCTATTGACACCATGCGTAGCCAAAGAAGAGGCCAGAGGGCTTCTGCCAGGGCCATGTGCAATTTTACAAATCTCACATAAGCTCGGTACTGGCATTGGACGAACCTGTCTAGACCGTAGCGGGTCGCCTCGCCCATCCCGGGTTCTGGGCCGAGCTTGAGCCTTTGAACCCTTGAGCGGGTTGGGCGATGATTCATGGACGCGCAGGACGGGTTGTTCAGGGGTTGAGCTATTTTCTTTTATCCGCATCCTTGGGCCGGGGCACGATGTTTGCTTTTGATGGCGGGCGAGCAGGCAGCCAAGCCTCACGGCCTTGCTTGGACATAAATACCCGGGGCTGCGGCGCCTTCCCACATCGTGAGGATAGAGCTTCTCCAGCTCCAACCGGCCCGCAGAGAGACGACAAGAAGGAAAGCCCACCATGAAGCTGCTCCCCCTTCTCGCCGTCCTCGGCATCGGAGCCGTCGCCCACCCTCACGGCCACGGCGTCCTCGAGTCCAGACAGACATGCTCCGGCCCCGTCGAGAGCAGCCCCTCGACCTGGTGGCGCGCCGCCATCGGCCACAACGGCACGGCGCCGACGAGCACCGACTCGACGTACCAGTACTACCGCACGGCGGTCCAATACGGCGCCGACAACACCGGCGTCCAGGACTCGTCCGACGCCTTCAACTTCGCCGTCGAAGGTATGTGAACCCTCTTTTTGCACTCGGGGGAGCGTTTGGCGGACCGAGGGAACACGCGAATCGACTAACGACCGGCGCCCTTCCATCTAGCATGGAGCCGCACCGGAAACACCGTGACGACCCGCCCGGCCTACATATACATCCCGCCGGGCCGGTACCGCATCAAGAAGCCAATCCAGATGCTCGTAATGACCTACCTCGTCGGCGACGCCCTCAACCCGCCCGTGCTGATCGCCGACCCGGCGCTCGGCAACCAACCCGTCATCAACGGCTACGACTCGAACCAGGGCGACGGGTCGGCGACCAAGAACTTCTACATGGCGCTGCGCAACGTCGTCGTCGACACCACCGAGATCGGCACCGGCGTGCAGGCCGTCGCCATCGACTGGAGCGTCTCGCAGGGCTGCTCCCTGTCTAACGTCAAGGTCCGCATGCCCAACAACTCGAGCCACATCGGCATCACCATGAGCGCCGGCGGTTCGGGAATCTTGATCAGCGATAGTGTTAGTCTCCCCCGCGTACTTATTTTTATTTTTTTATTTTCTTATTCATGACCTTTTCTTATCCCCCTTCCCTTCCCAAACGCCGGGAGCTGACGAGCGGTTAGCAATTCGAGGGCGGCGCCATCGGCATCAAGGTCAACGGCCAGCAGTACCAGTTCAAGAACCTCTCCTTCAACGGCTGCAACGTCGGCATCTCGGTGGACCACGTGTTTGTCGCCGTGGTGCAGGGCGCGACCTTTGCCAACTGCAACTTCGGCATCGACATGGGCAGCAACACGGCGGGCGTCGTCTCGCTCGTGGACTCGAGCGTCAGCGCCTGCAACGCCGGCGTCAACACCCTGGTGACGGGCTACGGCGAGAACTCACTCGTCATCGACAACTTCCGGGTCACCGACGCGACGACGGCCGTCAAGTCGGCGGCCGACGGATCGACCCTCAGGTCCGGCTCGGTCCCGGCGGGCCAGACCTGGGTCGTGGGGTACGTCAACTCGAACAACCTGCAGGGAGGGACGACGTACCCCATCGAGCGGCCTGCCGCGCTGCTTTCCGGGAACAGGTACTTCACGGCGCCGCTGCCTCAGTATGAGAAGTACGCCCTGGATCAGTTTGTCAGCCTGAAGGGCGACCCGCAGTTCCCCGTCTATGGAGACAACAGCCACGACGACGGCCCCAACATCAACGCCATCCTGCAGAAGTATAAGGGCTGCAAGATCATTTTCGTCCCCCAGGGCATTTACCTGACCAGGGAGACGATCTACGTGCCTCCCGGCACGAGGCTGATCGGCGAGACCCTCAGCATCATCAACGGTACGTGTTTGGCTTAGACACACGTCTGCTTCCCAAGAAAATGCTAACGCCGACAGGCCTCGGATCGCGGTGGTGGAACCCCGACGACCCCCAGCCCATCCTCAAGGTCGGCAACCCCGGCGAGACGGGCATCGCCCAGATCACGGACATCACGGTCGAGGTGGCGGACGTGCAGCAGGGCGCGACTCTCGTGCAGATCAACATGGCTGGGTCGAACCCCGGCGACGTCGGCATCTGGAGCAGCGTCTTCCGCGTCGGCGGCACCAAGCACTCGCTCGTCAACACCAACTGCGGCGGCGCGGACCCGGCCGACTGCAAGGCCGCCTTCGCGTTGATGCACGTCACCTCGACCGCCTCAGCGTACCTGGAGAACGTCTGGGGCTGGGTGGCGGACCACTCGCTCGACGGCGGCGCCGCGCAGAACATCGCCGTCGGCCGGGGCGCGCTGATCGAGAGCACCAAGCCCACGTGGCTGGTGGGCACCAGCTTCGAGCATTGCGTCATGTACCAGTACAACCTCCACAACGCGCAGAACGTGTACATCTCCCTGCAGCAGACGGAGAGCCCGTACTGGCAGGGCCAGGGGACGCCGCAAAGGGCCCCGGGCCCCTGGAGCGTGTTGCCGGCCTACGGCGACCCTGACTTCAGCAACTGCGCGGCCCAGGGGCAGGGCAACAATGACCGTTGCTTCCGGTCGTGGGGCCACCACATGACGGGCAGCTCCGAGGTCGTGATCCACGGGTCGGCACTGTGGGTCTTCTTCAACAAAATGAACGACAACCAGTGGCAGAACCCGCAGTGCGAAAACACGGGGGGCAACTGCATGACCAACCAGGCCTTTGCCAACGGCGCCAAGTCGACGTACTGGTTCGGGCTGAGCACCAAGAGCACCACATCTTTGCTGTACGACCAGACGGGCGGCGTTGTGTGGGAAGTGTTTGCGAGCGATAACACGGGGTCCTGGGGCGGCGTCCTTGCCGCGTATCTGAGGGACTCGGGCGCTTGAAGTGTCGTGGGAGCGGCTGGTTATGCGCAGCCCGACCCGAGGAGGGGGATCGATCGGTCCACAGTACCTAGATGCTCGTCCCGAACTTTAGACAGGGGCTGCATGTCCTGGTACGAGCAGACGGGAGGAAGGCCGTGTCGATGTGGCAATATAGCGTGCCGTTAATAGCGGTGACCGAATCCGTAGTCGGACGAACTGTCAAGACGGAAGTCAATCAATCCATTCTTGTCAAATACTCTTCTTTGATTGCTGGAAGAGCCGAGGTCCCCCGACGTCGAGTCCTTTGTTACAACGCATTATCGCACTCGGACTCGTTCTCGCTAGTGCCACCCGAACTGGCCACAGAGTGTGCTAGCATCTGGGCTTCCCTCGGCTGCTGTCTCAGTTGTTGTCTAGACCGCTGTTATCCAGCCATGAAGTGACTCTCGGGATTGATTTACAGCCTTAGTAAGGTTAGTCACAATGGGGAACGCGGCCTGTGTAGTCAGTCGTAAGAGCCACGAAAGCACAAAGAACATTTGAGACTCCCAAGGTGGAATGCGATTCGCCTATATGGCGGCGGGTTGTCAGAAGCTTGTTTGTCTGCGACGAATGAAGTGGACAGGCGGGATCGTCTTGTCTTGCCTGCCGCGTTTTGTTCTGAGCTTCCACGAAACACAGTCGAAAGAACTGGGTTAAGGTGGAACAAAGGTCAAGCTTGACCCGTATACACAATAGCTTGAATGGCGCTTGTATGGGGATGGAGGCCCGATCCATGACATTAGACGAGATCGGCACCCAAAAAGGTAGTTGGGGTCCATGGATCGTCGTAATCTGCCGGTGCTGGGAAACCACGAATCAAGACATGGACATGAAGCATGGATGATGGCTGTGGTGGCGTCGACGACTCGTGGATTGGAAGCGGAGAACATAGCCAAGACAAATTAAGGTAGAGTGGTACGGCGGTCCGGCTTTCCCATACCGCCTGCGGTGCGCAATGCATATAGTAAGTAACATATTTGTATGGTACTTGGTGGAGAATGAGAAATTCCAGAATCCAAGTGCATGTTGGTGTCAGCGGCAATGGCAGCCCCCAGATGCGCCGCGTGTCTCCCGTGCTTGGCTCCAGCTTTCTTTCTCTCTGTGCGTCCGAATTCCGCATTCCAGATTCCAGTGGTGAAGTGAACTGGGTCCGGGGTTGCGCGCAATCTGCAGCAGCTGCCACCAGACCAGACAGACTCCCGCGTGTGTGGGGTTCCGCTTGCGGGGGCACATGACGCTGAGCTAAATCGCCGAGGTTCACATGCGACAACTGAGCGTCATCCAGCTCTTGAGGCACCTCTCTCCTATGCCTTTGTTCCTTCCTCCGGCCGACACGAACACCCCAGCCTCCGACGCACGGTTAAACCGTTAACACCTTGCCGGTATTTAAACTATCCGGCCATCCCTCGCGGCTCGGAAGTTTCTCGTGATCTCCTGTTTCCCAACATCAAGTATTCATTTCATTCCATCTACTCCAATCAAACAAAGTACTTTTTTTGTCTTTCCACTCAACAAAACAAGACAGTCATCATGGGTCTCGCCAACGGTACGTACTTGTCATCCGGCTATCTCGGTCGTCTTCGTACGTCGCCCGATGCTAATCATATGTTTCTGCAGACAAGTTCCCTTCCTCGGTCGCTTTCGACGCCATCAACGATGCGCTTACCGGCAGCGAAGACGACCGCAAGGACGCTATCAAGCAGGGCAATGCCATTTTCGCCTTCACCCTGAAGAACTCGGCCGGTGAGACCGACAGCTGGCACATTGACCTCAAGGAGAAGGGTCAGGTCGCCAAGGGCACCGGCAACAAGCCCACCGGTACGTGTTCGGCCCAACCTACCATGCTATGGAACTTCAGTCTGATGTCTTCCTCCTAGTCACTCTGTCTCTGTCCGATTCCGACTTTGGCAACCTCGTACAGGGCAAGGCCAACGCCCAGAAGCTTTTCATGTCCGGCAAGCTCAAGATCAAGGGCGACGTTATGAAGGCTACCAAGATGGAGCCCATCCTGAAGAAGGCGCAGTCCAAGGCCAAGTTGTAGATGTGTCGCGTTGGACATTTTATTGTCGGTAATACCCTGTACCATAACCTACCAGTTGGATCAGCCGTACGTTGCTGGACCCGGATATGCGCCAAACGTAGCGTTGTCGTAGGCGATGAGAATATGACCATTCATCTAGCATGTTGAAACCCCGTCCCATGATATTTCACCAAGAACACCGTACCGCATTGACACAATCCACGATGTACGGCGTGCGATGCGCCCGTGGTCGTTTGAATGGATGTTGCGCCCTCGTCCAAAAGCATGTGACAGCCCCTATAAGGCCCATCCTTTTGGTCATATTTCTTGCGGCTGGCGATGTGCTCCCATGGTTTAAACAACCCCCCCCCCCCCACAAAAAAAAAAAAAAAAACCAGACGCGTTGGGGAATCAGCCGCAAATTCTTGAAAATAGTGCATCCGATCCAGCGACGGACATCCGATGGATGCGCTTGCTGATGGACACGTGCGTCCGTTTGTTCCTTTGCCCGCAGGTAGATAGTCAACGGTGCTGGAGTCGTGCTGACGGAATTCCCGACGATTGCCGGCCCGAGTCAGGAGAACGACTCAGTAGTGGTGGTCGGAGCCGGCGCCGCCAACTTCACGTGTGTCCCCCCTTCTTTTTTGTTCTACAACTAGGCGTCCCTTTTTATCTTTGTTTTGTATATATATATATAACTCTGTATACTCATAGCCCCTCTGGGTGTGCCGCGAGGCATCGCGCGAAGACGACCGGGTAGGCGATGGAGCTTTCAATGGCAACCCGACACCTAAAATAGTGAGTGCGTGCATGGCTTTGGACATGGACAATGGCAGGGCCACATCCAACCAGCCCAGACGAATGTACAGGAGCAATCCTCGGCGTATTCTATAGGCACCCTAGAATGAGAGTGCAACTTGGACGGAATTCCCCTGGTTTCAGTCTTGTAGGCGCATCGGCCATTCGAGTCTCGTGCGCAGATGGAGAGCAGATGGAGAGGTCAGGAGTGCCAGACTTGGCGGCGGTGGGTGTTGGTCATGATGCTACACTGCACAGAAAGACTCGAACTGAGTCAGCAAACGTGACCTGATGGACGAGTGACGACGGGCATTGGGCCTTGGAAGCGCCCAGATCCAACCATCCATGCATGCATGCAGCCAGTCCCATCGCGTCGCACTTCAACATACCATTCCACGTTGCCGCCAGCGGCAGCCAACCCAACTCGTGTTAAAAGGCGGTCGCGGTTGCCTGAGGTTGAGTGATGACAAAAAAGTGGACCCCCGTCTTGCCGGTTCTTGACGCTCGATCACCCCAGCCGTGCTCGCCCCCTGCACTGTGGCCGTGGCCGTGGCCTACTCTTGTTTTTTCTTACTAACAGCTGTCCCCGTCGCCCGCCCGGACGTGCCACGCCAAAAAAACATCCTGCACCAAAATCTTCGTGTGGTTCCTCCAGCCAATCCACCAACAAGGCGTCTTTGATGCGCCATCCAGCATCAGCTTTCCTGATCGCTGCGCCAGTGTCTTCTGCTGCTTTCGACGCTTCATTCTTTTTCGATTATTTCAATCTACTCGCATCCACCCATTAGTAGTCGCTTCCCGCTGCAGCTTCTGCTTTCCTCTCCCCCATCCTCCCGTCGCTTTGTCTGCGAATCCTGCGTGAATCGAGACGCGACTCTCCTTCCGAGACCGAGTCGAACGACGCCCGCCTCATCTCCGTCGACTAATTACAATCCTGAAATTGCATCTGTCTCCTTCGGTCGTCATCATGGATCACCGAAATAGCACCCCGCGCCCGCGCCCGTCGCTCAAATTCGCGAACCGGAGCTACCAAGCTTCACCTCTTAACCCCAACAAGCGACTGGGCACTCCCCAGACTGCTCCGTCCCAGAGAATCCTGAACCGCGACCCAGCTCCCTCGAGTAACCTTAACACGAGCACCATATCCACCGCTCACAACCTCTTTCGGTCATCCTCCATCAGTGCGAGCCCAGCCGTTACCCCCTTCTCGCCGAGTCTGCCCACGAGCACCGCCAAGAAGGTCTTCGCGCCTGGCGCGACTCCGGCCTCGCAAAAGGTTTACCGGGAGACCATTGCTCAGGCTACCCCGCGAGGCCTGTCGACTAAATCGACATCGGCCGACCTTTTCCACATGCGCATTCCCTCACCGCCCCCCGAACTCTCTGGCGAAGCACTTGCGCGAGACATCCCCCCTGAGCTCGAAGCCAAGGGCACTGTGTACGCTGACCAGTACCTCGGCCACCTTGTACCCCCTGAATACGATGACCTGCAGCGACGCCAGCTCTTCTGCATCCTGGATCTCCGCCGCCTCAAATATGCTGCCAATGAGATCTTTACCAAGAAGGATTGGAAGCTCAACATCATGAACTTTGCGAAAGAGTTTGAAAAGAGTCGAAGCCTGATCATGCTCAGATACGGCCTCTACGAGTTCAAGAACGTCAAGCCCTCGGAGGAGGTGTTGAAGAAGTGGAGAACCGCCCACAACCTGCCCGAGCCTGAGGAGGACGCCGTCGATGCCAGCCCTTCGAGACAGACCACCCGTTCCAAGCGCAAGGCTGAGGACCAGTTGACTCCCAAGGATGCGGCACTGTCGACTGCCTCCCCCAACAAGAATAACAAGAGACGTGCTGTAGACAGAGAGGAGGAACAAGAGCCGGCTACCCCAGCTGCGATCAAGAACAAGAGAAGGGCGACCGTGACCGACGAGTCGGACGAGAACCAGCCGAGCAAGTTGCAGAAGTCGACTTCGACGCCCTCCGCAACCAAGAGCATGTTCGAGAGGGTTGCTAACAACCAGGGACCGGCCTCGACCCCCAAGGCGACCCCCAAGGCTGCAGAGGCGAAGCCCAACCCCTTTGCGAGCGTCTCAAAGCCTGCTGCCAACAACCTTTCGCGTTCCGTGCTCGAAGCCAATATTAAGCCTGCTCAGCCGTCCAACATCTTTGGCTATCTCTCCGATGCCAGCTCTGCAAAGAATAGCGGTGTGGAGGCCGATGGTGAGAGCGAAACCGACTCCGACGATGACGTGGAGACGCAGGGAGCTGGACAGCAGAGCTACGAGCCGAGCGTTGCCGCCAGCGGTGGCGCCGAAACACCTTTGGCCCCGCCGGCTTCGAACCCCTTTGGTGCCCAGAAGCCCCTTTTCTCCAGTACCTCCAGAGAAGGCACGCCGGGCAAGAGCCTCTTCGATCGCGTTAGCAAGGACAACAGCGGCCAGGCTCTCCGTGCGGACTCGGCTGAGCCCGCGCCGGCGGCCGAAAAGACACCGTTTGCTTCTAGCAAGGATGCCGCGCCGGCTCCTGTCAACGCGACCTGGAACCCCAACTCTCCGATCAAGTTCAATGCCAATGCTCCGGCCAGCAATGGTCTCTTTGGCGCGTCTACCACTGCCAATGGGTCCGGCTCCCTCTTTGGCGCTCAGCCTGCCGCACCCGCTTCCAGTTTATTCGGCGCTAAGCCTGCTGCGCCCGCTTCCAACCTATTCGGTGCGCCCAAGCAGGATGAGAATCCCAAGGCCGAGAAGCGCTCCCGATCTGAGGAGGACACGGGGGCCGAGTCCGACAAGGAAAATAGCTCTCAACCTCCCGCCAAGTCCCCCTTTGGCGGATTTTCTGGGTTCCAGCCCAAGACATCGGAGCAGCCCAAAAAGGATGAGGCACCGTCCAAGCCGGCGGCTGCGCCGACTTTCGCGTTCGGTGCTTCTGCTCACAAGGCGGAAGAGGCCAAGGCTCCGGCCCCGGCCTCGAACCTCTTCGGCGCCCAGGACAAGCCTGCGGGCTCCGTCATGCAGTCCTCGACGCTGTTCGGCGCGAAGCCTCAGGATGCACCTGCCGCTGAACCTGCTAAACCCCTGTTCGGCGCAAGTACGTCGGCCACTTCGACTCCTTTCCAGTCGAACTCTCTCTTCGGCAACAACGCGCCGGCATCGGGTACCTCCAACCTGTTTGGTGCTAAACCAGCCGAGGCTCCCAAGGCACCCGAGGCCGCTTCTGCTTCCGCGGCGCCCCTCTTCAGCTTCGGTGCTAACAAGCCGGCGGAGCCCGCCCCAGCCGCCAACCCTCTCTTTGGCGGCAGCCCCATGAAGCAAGATGGACCGCCAGCGAAGACGCAATTCAATGCCCCATCTTCTGCACCTCCCGCACCGTCAGGCGGCATGTTCAATTTTGGGGGAAACCAGAGCGCGCCTGCTTCCAACCCATTCGGGGGCGCTGCGTCTGCACCCCAGACTAACGGAGGTTCTAGCGGTCCCCCAAGCTTCGGCTCCGGTGGCGGTGGATCTTTTACGTTCAGCGCTAGTGGTGGAGGTCAGACTTTCAACAACCCCTTCGCGTCTAACAACGGAGGTACATCCGATGCCGCCCCTTCGTCCGGAGGTATGTTTAACTTTGGTGGATCATCTGCGCCTTCCAACGGCTCTTCGCCATTCCAGTTCGGCGGCGGTTCGTCCTCGGCTGCTCCGTCGAGCAGCACCCCCTTCCAGTTTGGAGCTGGTGCTCCCGCTCAGCCTGCGGCTCCCGCAACGTCGGCTCCCACTTTCACCTTTGGCGCCTCGAACGGATCCGCCAACTCCTCGGCGCCTGCCTCTCAGAAACCGCTGTTCGGAGCGTCGACTTCGGCGCCCACGAGCAATCTCTTTGGTTCCAAGCCCGCTCAGCCTGCGTCCGGCATGTTCGGCAACCTGCAGCCTCCGGCCGGTGCTTCGACCACCGGAACAAACTCGCCTTTTAACTTTGGCGGCGCCTCAAGCCTAGCCACCACCCCTGCCACGGGAACTCCCGAGCCGGCCGCGGAAGCGGAGAAGGCTGGTGGTAGTGGCGAAGGTGACGATGCCGATGGCAAGCCTCATGAGCAGCTCAAGCTCACTGAGGGAGGTCCCGGCGAGGAGGACGAGTTGGTTGTTCACGACGTTCGTGCTAAGATTATGAAGTACATCCCTGCCGGGTCTGAAGAGGACAAGGACAGCGGCGATGACCAGCCCAAGAACAAGAGCCCGTGGTCCACCAAGGGTGTTGGCCCGTTCCGCTTACTCAAGCACAAGAACACCGGCGCCGTTCGCATGCTCTTGCGCGCGGAGCCCCGTGGCCACGTCGTGCTGAACCGATCCATCCTTCCCAGTGAGACCTACAAGGCGGACAAGAAGTACGTCAAGCTCACCACCTCCAACGAGGCTGGCAACGGTCTCGAGACGTGGATGGTACAGGTCAAGACCGAGGACTTGGCCAAGACGCTGGCCGCCACCCTGGA